GCTTGGTGACGTGCGGTCAAAGAAAGCCCACAATCTGCAACGGCATTGTGGATTGTCTGAAGAGACGCGCTTCGAAATGATTACGTTCCTTCGTTCAGCTGTTTGGTTTACAATCTGTATGAGTAATAGTAGCCGCGTGTCTGCTCGGATGATTCAATCCTACCTTATGTCAGCACTGGGAGGGCTAATATGTCTTTTATAAATCATGTTAATGCAAAACCCCCCCACCCCTCCAATTTCATCCCAGTTGTGCTATCGGTATCACGTGATGAGACAAAAAATCCATTCAGATCTCTCGCAGAGCAATGCACCCTTTTCGTGCGAGAGAAAGACCTGCAGAAGCAGATGCTCTAGAACGCCATCTGAGATGTCCTCAAGTGACCTCTGATCCACAGACTCCGGGGCAGAATTTTGCCACTTGCCATGCTACGGGGATACAATTGAATCTAATACTGGTAGGAACCACCTGGTTCCACCAGCCCACAGGGGATTATTGTGTCCGTCCGTCGTGCATCCAAAAATGGGAGGGGTGGGGCTGGGTGGAGAGGGGAGGGTGGGGAGGGGCTGGGTGGGGAGGGTGGGGAGGGGCTGGGTGGGGAGGGTAGGGAGGGGCTGGGTGGGGGGTGGGAGGGGTGAGGCTAGGTGGGGAGGGGCTGGTCACCCCGTGGTGCCCTTATAAAACTCAACGTTTAACCTTCTCACGCCGGCTTGTGCCCGCCCTCACAGTCGGCCATATTTGCGGAATACACCACGCCGCCGTTAACCCTGGCCATTGACCGCGCAACCCAACGTTCCTACCAGCTCCCTCCGCAGGAATGTGTTTTTATATGAATAGAGTGCCTTCACTGAAAGAATGACATTCAAACGGTTATATATATTTTTGTTTACCTATTTTTTTATTCCCACTCCTTTATTGGCCTTGACCACTAGCGATCATCCTTTCTAGCCGAAGTTTCCTGCCCAAACCCACTTGGACTATTATACATCCATATTTCTTTCAAGGCAGTGTTATTGGAAATGAGTTTTGTGTTACATTTCTGAACGGTCCATGCGATTCAAGTTTCATTTATTAGGTATAGCACTGTGAGCCATTCGGCTCTTGAATCGGGTGCAACTGCAACAAACAAAAAAACTAAAACATGAACAAGAAAACATCTTAAAGTGACTATGTGACTGAGTGCAAACAGAAAATCCAAGAAAATACAGCAAAATATTGCAGAAAAATCACCGTACACCAACGCTGTGTGCAAAAATCCCAGTGGGATGCAAGTCAAACAACAACGACAACAACCACAAGACAACTTAGATTAAGGCCATCAGTCTAACTCTGTACTACAACAAACAAACATGGCCAAACCGAAAAACTTTTCAAAAAACACCAAAATAAAGCCATAAAAGCAATGAAACCGTGATCATGGCTCTCACTTGTGTATATTTTCTAATACATGTGCTTCTGTCTCTTATCAGTGTTTTCCCAAGCGTTACTAAAACTAAACACGAACTTAATTTTATTTTACCAGGTAAGGCCCAGTAAGCTATATTAGATTTTTTTTTCAGAATTAACCTGGCCACAATTGATAGTTCAACAAAATGGTTTATGTGGACATTTTTAGCAGCCAAATACTCTATAAACGCATGTTGATTCTAAATTTGGAGAGGAAAAACCAGGAGGACCTGGAGAAAAATCCACGTGATCACGGGGAGAAACATGCAAACTCCAAATATACAGGTATTGTCAGGGTCGGGATCAAACCCACGACCTCTTGCATACCGGGCGAGGGAGGGAAAAAACCAGAGGACCTGGAGAAAAATCCACGTGCCCACGGGGAGAAACATGCAAACTCCAAATATACCGGCATTGTCAGGGTCGGGATCAAACCCACGACCTCTTGCATACCAGGCAAGGGAGTTAACATCTAACCATCATTCATTCTCCCCGTTCTTTTCTGCACACTTTCCAAATTTTGTATATTTTCTTGCTACGGCTAGAGAATTATACATGGTATAAAAAACAAACTATTCATACATATTAATTGTTAACGTTATTTTCTTAACGTTCAATTCAATACTTCTTTTTGTGACCGTAAGAATATCCTTTAATCAATGAATCTAGTCTCTAATGTAATTTTCACTCGGGTCTACTCTGGAGTGTGTTTTGTGGGCATTTAATTCTGCATAATTTCATCGACATCTAATCTTATTACCTATGCTTCGTCTTGTATGTGATCATTCACTATTCAGAATATCTGTGAACAATATGGGGTGAACGAAATTGAACCAACGAGGCGGAGTGACATGAGAAACACTACATTTGGGGTAGTTAAATCGAGGCGGAAATGATCCAATTCTTATATGGACCCACAACCCCTTGAATCATCTTCCTGGTTCTTTCGGTAAAGTCACGTAAATGGAAATAATAAAATAATAAAAATAAAACATAATAAAATAATTCTCACGACGTTTCGGCCACAACGCGAGCAGCCGTCCTCAGGTGGAGAACAGGTCTGTCGGAAAGACAGCGTCCGAATGAACACCACCAAGCTTGGCCGCGTATATTTAAGCTGGGTTGGAGGAGGAAGGGCGCCTTGACGAAGGAATTTGCATATCACTCTTCTTCACCTCAGGACAGCTGCTTGCGTTGTGGCCGAAACGTCGTGAGAATTATATTATTATGTTTTATTTTTATTATTTTATTACTTCCCTTCTACGTGACTTTACCGAAAGACCCAAGAAGATGAATCCCTGCAGTCACGAAAGCTTTAAATCGAAATGTTATTATGTTTTCTTTTTATTATTTTATTATTTCCCTTCTACGCGACTTTACCGAAAGAACCAAGAAGATGAATCCCTGCAGTCACGAAAGCTTTAAATCGAAACCCTTGAATCATGTCAATTCATGGCTATCCCATGGGAGGTCGATTTGTTACAAGCCCACTGTCATCTTTGCCTTCCTCTCCCCACCCGTCATAGTTTTTGCAAGGTGGGGAAACTGGAGTGGCCGAAAACAATAGTCACTTACCAGAGGGACAAACACCAACACTCCCCGACTATTCGGCTCATTGCAAATTAATGTCGGCGTGGTCACGGGGATTGGGCGGCGGTGGCGTGTAACCGGATAAGAACCCTTGTTGCGTGTTCCCTGGGCCGAGGATAAAGATGTAAAGATGCTCGCCTGTCGCTCCCTTGAGAATGCGTCTCGCCTTGCCGCTGACAAAACCTCAGAGGAATGTTTTTATTAAATAATGTTTTGTTATTTTATTCTTTCCCTTCTACGTGACTTTACCGAAAGAACCAAGAATGCTCAAAGGAATCGTTCGCATTGACTGTCTTCCTCGTCCCTTGACCCTGCTCAGCCTGCAAGGCCCTTCACACATTCATCTTCTTGTCCGTGAACTCACAGATTATATCTATGGAATGTCGAGCAAATTATTACCCGTGCTTGAGAGTGAAAAGCAGTTAAGGCAGCGTGTCTAAAGGAGAAAGATCGAAGAGGAGCGATAAGCCTTAAGCGGTTAGCGTGCCACGCTCCGAACCCAGCATCTCGAGTTCAATTCCCGGCCCCTGCTAACGTATATAGGGGAGGCAAATGGTTAAAATGGTCCTTTGCCTCGCCTAGGTCGACTCAGTCTTAAATGGTGCGGTGCGTTAACAGGAAAACACCGCTGAGACGACAAAAGCAGCCGCGGCATTGTGTCGATCACTCCCCCCACCCCCTTGAGCGCCGTGCCGGCCTTCGTAAGTGCTCGCTGACAGCTCTTGCTCTAACAGCCCCCTGTTGACTATAATAGGTGATCTTTTGTCGTGTTTGTCCAAAGAATAAACGTTTTTACTGGTAGGAACCTCCTGGTTACACCAGCCCACAGGGGATTATTGTGTCTGTCCGTCGTGCAAGGAGGGGCTGGGTGGGGAGGGAGGGGCTGGGTGGGGAGGGGAGGGTGGGGAGGGGCTGGGTGACGAAATAAATCGACGTGTAACGCCGTGGCCTTGAAAGGAGACGTAGGTAACGGATGACGTTCTTCTTTCATAGCCTATGAAGCACTTGTGCTATGAAGAAGGGCCATTGCTTCAAAGTTTTTTTTTTACCCTTAAATACCTTGTCATAGAGCAGGGGTGGGGAAGCTTTTTTCTGCCAAGGGCCATTTGGATATTTATAACATCATTCGTGGGGCCATACAAAATAATCACCTTAAAAAATAGCCCGTTACATTTGGTCAAACATTTAATTAACTCGCCCCTAATGCGATGGCTGGAACTGCTTCTCTTTGGGCGAGGCTTGGTGATGTTAGCTGGCTATTGATAATGTTGCTGCTACACGCAACTGCTTTTCCAGGTTTGCTCCTAGATTTATTGAACTTCGAGTCCCGCCTGCGGTTGCCTTGGCAGGGCCACACCAAATGATTTTGCGGGCCTCGTACGGCCCGCGGGCCGGACATTCCCCACCCCTGTCATAGACGAATGCGCGTTTGCGTTGTGAACTGTATGCACAGGCTCTGCTTGGAGTCGAAACCCAGGATCTCGGTGGTTGACAGCTCATCGCTCTGACCTCTTGAAGCACCGGGTCACCTTGCTTGTGTTTTTGCCTTGTGTGTGTGCGCGCGTGCGTGCGTGTGTGCGTGTGTGCGCGTGTGTGTGCGTGCGTGTGTGCGTGCGTGCGTGCGCGCGTGCGTGCGCGTGTGTGCAGCCCAAGTGCAATGGTTAGCGCGCTGCGCTACGAACCCAGCGACCCGAGTTAACTTCCCGCTCATGGCCAACACCATTGACGATTATCTGAACCAGGTTCTGGGCCCTCCCCTAGGTCGACTCGGCCTCAAATGAGACCCTGGTGCGGTGTGTAAAATCATCGATGCTGGGGAGACAAAGGCGGTCGGGCGTGGCGCCGACCACCCACCCACCCCCTCGTGTGCCGTGCCGGCCTTCACAGGTGCTACTTCTCGCTAACAGAGCTTGCCCCGAAAGTCTGTTAAGGCTATATGGCGGATGTTTGTCCTGTGTCTTTGCAGCCCAAGTACATATCAATGTGCATCGAGGAGATCAAGCAGGAGCTGAGGCAGGAGAACATTGCCGTCAAGGCCAACGCAGTGGCCAAGCTCGGCTACGTGAGTCCCTGCTGGCATTCGTGGAGGAGCTCGCGCGAGGCTATGGTTACAGCCGGTTCCCACACTCGCGATACGCACGCATGCATGTGTATGTTGATCTCATCTTCTTGGTTCTTTCGGTAAAGTCACGTAGAAGGGAAGTAATAAAATAATAAAAATAAAACATAATAAAATAAAATAATTCTCCCGACGTTTCGGCTACAACGCAAGCAGCCGTCTTCCCTTCTACGTGACTTTACCGAAAGAACCAAGAAGATGAATCCCTGCAGTCACGAAAGCTTTAAATCGAAAAATATGTTGATCTCCTTTCGCACCGTACGTAGCCAACCGTGATAATCGGAGGTGTGGGGTGATAGCAACAAACTACGCACAAAAGGGCGGTTCTAAAGAAATTCTTTTCAATTTACTACACACACACTATACACACTCACTACCGCACACTAAATACACACTCACTACCACACACTCAATACAAAGATATCCTGTGAAGGCCGGCACGGCACACGAGGGGGCGGGTGGCCAGCACCACGCCCGGCCGCCTTTGTCTCCCCAGTGGCGATGTTAACACGTTGCACCAGGTACTCATTTGAGGCTGAGTCGACCTAGGGGAGGCCCAGGACCGGTTCAGATAATTGTCACTGGTGTTGGCCGTGAGCGGGAATCGAACCCGGGTCGCGAGGTTTGTAGCGCAGCGCGCTAACCACTACACCACCGCTCCCCACACTCAATACACACTACCACACACTCAATACACTCACTACACTCAATACACTCAATACACTCAATATACTCACTACACACACTCAATACACTCACTACCACACACTCAATACACTCACTACACTCACACACTCAATACACTCACTACCACACACTCAATACACACACTACTACACACTCAACACACACACTTCCACACACTCAATACACACTACTACATCGTCGCTCCGACACACTGATTACTATACTACACTCACTTCCACACACTCACCGCTGTATGTATGTTGAACTTCTTTCACACCATACCTAGCGAACTGGGCTAATGGGAGGTGCGGGGGAAGGACAACAAACTAAACACGAAAATAATTTGTCAAAAATTATTGTTCAATCGAGATTAAAAAGCGGCTTCGTCATCTTGCAAGGAAGAGCGTTCCAGACGGCCACAGAAACTTATCGTTGCGGTGACTCTTTATTCGATGGTTAGCTATCGATTTAAATCCACGAGTGGTGGGAGAATCGATTTTAAATCCTGGGTGCTACAGGTGACACCGACTGTACGCGCAGTCTCGATGAGCATGACCTTCCGAGAGTGAGCAGTAACCACATCGTGGTGCTGCAAACCCAGCGACATTGGTTTTTGATGCCTGGCCATGGGTAACCTATCGGTGACACATGATGGCTGAACCGTTCTTGGGTCTCCCCTAGGTCAACTCAGCCTTCGATGGTGTGGTTGATGAGTGAGCACGGTTGGCTATGTATGGTGCGAAATACAGGTAGTCCCCGAGTTACGATGGTCCGACTTACGATATTTCGATCTTGCGATGGCGATAGCGATACGAGAAAATTGCCATCAACAACCTAACATCGTTCAAGCGTGCAGACGACGGACAGAATCTTGGTGAGCGCGGTACAATGATACGTTACGATACGTTCAATGCATGTGTACACTACACTATACAGTACACTATACACTACATTATTACACTACACTATACACTACACTATTACACGCTACACTACACTATTACACTACACTATACACTACACTATACACTACACTATACACTACACTATGATACGTAGCTTTAGCGATTTCAGTTTAAGGTTACCACGATGAGATACATACGTTCAATGCATGTTCAAAGTTTTTATAGCAGATTGTTTCCTGAAAAAACTTTTCATTAAATTGCAGTTCATATAGGTAGGCTACGAATTTACCTTTTTACTCCTACATTTTACCGTGCAATACAGTATTGTAATCAATAAATACATACAGTATATAGTTTATACAGTACGGTACTGTAAATTGCTCTGTTTTGCTAAATTTTCACCGTTCTTTAAGACTCCTGGGTAGGCTATAGGCCATCTTCGACTTACGATATTTTCGACTTACGATGGGGGTCGTCGTAACACATCTCCATCGTAAGTCGGGGACTACCTGTACATACTTGATGTGTTTTGTACATATCGGTACTGGGGGAGACAAAGGCGGCCTGGCACAATGCTGGCCACACAACCCGTTCGTGCGATGTGCCGGCCTTCCACTGTCGCTCGTTCACAGAATTTCTCCCAACAGTCTATGCCTTGATGTCATTGGTCTGATTAATGTAATGATTCTTGCTGATGATATTGGTGATGTTCATGCTCCTGATGATGATGTTAATGATGCTACTGGTGTTGCCATTGCAGCTATAACTCTCTTGCTGTTCGTAACAGTAATAAAACAATTCTCAACGCGAGAAAATTTCTCCAAATTACTGGTCAATGTCCAATCGCTACTCGGAGGCCCAAGATGCTGACGCTATCGCCGATGCTGCTACCGATGTTGCTGCTATTCCTGCTGCGAATGTTGATAACGATGTCGCTACTGATCCTGATCATGCTGATAATGATGATGGTGGTGGTGGTGGTGATGTTGATGACGTGCAGCTTCAGATGCAGGGCTACGACATCAGCTGGGCAGCCTTCAACGTCATCGAGGTCATGAGTTCAGCGAAATTCACGCACAAGGTAAGGGGATCTTGACAAGGGTGTCACAAGCAGCCTCCTCTTGCCCACTTGGGCAATTGTTTCTTGCTGTGGCTGTCCCAGCTGATGAACGGGCGCTTGCGTTGCGCCCGAAACGTCGTGATTTCATCTATTTAGTTTTCTACCCACGTGACTTTACCGAAAGAACCATGGATCCCTGCAGTCACGAAAGCTTCACATCTAGATTAAGGTATAGGGGAGGCGCATCTGCCCTGAATCATTACCGTGCAGTCATTAGCTCCTTGTGTGTGTACACACTGTAGTGGCGCTGCCGTGGGGTAATGGTTAGTGCACTGGGCTCGTGGTCCAGAGGTCACCCGCTCGGCCCGCGCCTCTGATTAGCACGGTTGGCTACGTACGGTCGCGAAAGAAGTTCAACGCACGGGCTCGCAGAGGGGAGGCCCCGTAAAGCTCTTCGCTGTATTATTTGGCGTACAGCTCATTCACATTTACCGTGGTCATTATTTTGAGCACAGCAGAGCAAGCGGTTCTCAAGATTCCTGCGACCCGCAGACTGTCGCTGTGAAAACCCGGGCACGTTTTTTGCGGCGCGGTGAAAATATTCGCGCGTGGTGAGCGATGGGGAAAAATCTCACATGCATGTGTAGTGACTCAATGCGGAGACGGCAAGACTTGGAGCCATTTCTTTATTTAACAAGCACCATCGGGATAACACACAACACCCTACGCGGGTGCACACTATTATTAGTATTAAGACCGTCCTATTGTCGGCGGCACTGCTTATAACAGTTGGTAGGCTTCATCTTCTTGGTTCTTTCGGTAAAGTCACGTAGAAGGGAAATAATAAAATAATAAAATTTATTAAAATAAAACATAGTAAAAGAATTCTCACGACGTTTCGGCCACAACGCAAGCAGCCGTCTTCACTTGAGGACGGCTGCTTGCGTTGTGGTCGAAACGTCGTGAGAATTGTATTTTATTATGTTTTATTTTTATTATTTTATTACTTCCCTTCTACGTGACTTTACCGAAAGAACCAAGAAGATGAATCCCTGCAGTCACGAAAGCTTTAAATCGAAATTTAACTATTATTATTACTAAGACCGTCCTATTGTCGGCGGCACTACTTAGAACAGTTGGTAGGCTGTCTGACTATCAGCGCCCCGGGATGGTGAAGACGAAGAGGACGACAGGGAGATGGTGACGACGACGAGAAGGTGACGACGATAGACTTGCGGGGATCCCACTCCCAGCAACAACCACGAGGTCCCGCACAGGGAGGGCCTCTCTTATACTCTCAGCGTGGCCTCGCTCCACCTCGCCCCCCTTCTGTAACCTACTAGCAGGTCCCCGGGGCTTCCCGATGGGCTCCTTCTGAGACCTTTCCCCGAGACGTCCCCCTCTCGTGTATCTCGTGGCCTGCTGACGCGAGTTCTGCTATACACCGCAGTTCCTTTTTTTCGCCAGCAGCCAGCGCTATGCCACTACACGTGCAACAGTTTTTGCGGAGCGCTTTCCACGGCTTTGCGGGGAGCGCCTGCGCACCAGCCAGTGCCGCTGTAGAGGGACTCCCCCAGAGCATCCCTCGAGTGTTCCGGCAGCAGTGGCCCGAGCACGGAAATTGCAGGGCTGCCCCTTGACCTCTTGGCGTATGTTTGTGGCCTGGGTGTGAGTGTGTACATACTGTGTGTGTAATGTGTGAATGTGTATGTGTGTGTGTGTATATACTATAGGTCGACTCAGCCTTAAATGAGTACCTGGTGCGGTGTGTAAACATCGCCACTGGGGGTCGGGCGTGGTGCTGGCCACTCACCCCCTCGTGTACCGTTCCGGCCTCTATAGGTGCTCGCTAACAGCACTTGCCCCTACAGTCTGTACAGACTGTTAAGGGGATACTATGTGTGCGAGGGTGCGTGAGTGGAGAGCAAGACCCGAGATCACGGCCAACACCAGTGGCGGTTATTTGAACTGGGCCTCCCCTGGTGCGATGTGTAAACATCGCCATTGGGGAGACAAAGGCGGCCAGACATGGTGCTGGCCACCCACCCCCTCATGTGCCATGCCAGCCTTCATTGGTGCTGCTCGTTCACAGCATCTGCCCCTGCATCCTATTAAGGCCACACGGCGGATCTTTGTCTTTGTCTGCACGCAATGTGTATACGTTAGCTATACATAGCTGTGATCACCATGCTCTCTCTCTGCTGCTGCTTGCGTGTCTCAGCGCATTGGATACATGGCAGCATCGCAGTCGTTTCACGAGGGCACCGATGTCCTGATGCTCACAACCAACATGATCCGCAAGGTGACGCTCGCCACGCTCAATACAATCATCGCTCGCCACGCTCAACACAATCAACACTCGCCACGCTCAACACAATCAACACTCACCACGCTCAACACAATCAACACTCGCCACGCTCAACACAATCATCACTCGCCACGCTCAACACAATCATCGCTCGCCACGCTCAATACAATCATCACTCACTACGCTCAACACAATCAGCACTCGCCACGCTCAACACAATCATCGCTCGCCACGCTCAATACAATCAACACTCGCCACGCTCAATGCAATCAGCACTCGCCACGCTTAATGCAATCAGCACTCGCCACGCTCAACACAATCAGCACTCGCCACGCTCAACACAATCATCACTCGCCACGCTCAATACAATCATCGCTCGCCACGCTCAACACAATCAACACTCACCACGCTCAACACAATCAACACTCGCCACGCTCAACACAATCAACACTCGCCACGCTCAACACAATCAACACTCGCCACGCTCAACACAATCATCACTCACCACGCTCAACACAATCATCACTCACCACGCTCAATGCAATCATCAGTCGCCACACTCAACACAATCATCACTCGCCACACTCAACACTCACCACGCTCAATACGATCAACACTTTTGCCTTGGTATGTTTAACAACGTGAACATGATAAGCCACTTCGTTAAGCTTACATTTGTGGTAGCCAGGTCGCTTCTGAAAAAGAGCTCTACAGCTCAGTGAGCCTCACCTGCTACTGTACGTAGCCAACCGCTCCATGCGTCGCCAGCCGTGCTAATCGGAGGTGCGGGGGGAAGGACAAGAAACTAAACACAAAAAGCAGTCCAGTAAAACCTTGGATTGCGAGTACCTTGGTCTGCCAGTGTCTCTCCTCTGTGTGTTTGTCTTTCTCTCTCTGTGTTTGTCTCTCTCTGTGTTTGTCTCTCTCTGTGTATGTGTTTCTCTCCGTGTCTGTGTTTGTCTCTCTCTCTCTCTCTGTCTCTCTGTGTGTGTCTCTCTCTCTCTCTCTCTGTGTCTCTCCTGTGTGTTTGTCTCTCTCTGTGTGTCTCTATGTGTGTCTCTCTCTGTGTATCTGTCTCCGAGCTTGCATTCACACCTGATGACGGTTGCTTCTGTTGCAATCGAAACGTCATATTCTATTATTTATGTTATTTTCTTTCTACGTGACTTTACCGAAAGAACCACAGAGTAATTCCTGCAGTCACGAAAGCTTCAAATCAAGTTTGTTACTTTTTTGTCTTAGGTCTCGTTAAATTGTGTTCACATCGCATGATGATACAATTGCGCGTGCGTAGTCGCGTGTGTATGACAACACGTGCGCGTGTGTAACGCTCGCTCGTCACACAGGACCTGAGCAGTCAAAATCAGTACGACGCCGGCCTGGCACTCACCGGCATGGCGTGCTTCATGACCCACGACCTCGCCCGCGACCTCGCCAACGACATCATGACCCTGGTGAGAATCCTGGTCTTGGCGGCGCTACGCGGATGTCTTGTCTCCCTCTCAGGAGCCGATGTCTTTATCCGAGCAACTTAACCGGAGCCAGATTTTCTAGGTTTCAAGTCCCTGGGACCTGGCTGCCGTGTTTATGATCTCCGCTCGCGCCCGAACCGACTTTGAACTATTTAAGTGTTGTTGTTTTTGACCAGGTACGGCCCCCACTGATGGCTTGATCGATTGGCTTATTGTAGTAGCAGCCAAGTACAGCGGTACCTCGGTATACGTCGTTAATTCGTTCCGGAAGGTAGGAGGACTTGTACCGAAAATGACGTAGACCAAACGCATTTTTCCCATAAATAAAGGGAAATGAAATAATCTGTTCCAGAGTCTAAGAAATTATATGTTATATGGCATATTATACATTAATGGGGTTGTAGAAAATCATTTAGATACCACTTATTACTAAAATGCATACACAAATGAAAATAAATGCCTAAATAAATTAAAATAAATTGAAATAAAAATAAAATTTAACGTCACTTTACCTTGCCATCTCGAATGAATTTGCAAAAATTTCTAGTTAAAATGACACGAAAAATCACGTGAAAATTCACGGAGAGTTTCTAGCAATGCTTGTGCACTGAACGAGATCTCCTGAACAGGCAGACTGAGGAGCGGCGCTTTGTTTCGGTCGTGAACGGGGTAGATGCGGTGACTCATCCCAATCCATACAAGTTCTAGCAATAGTAGTAGGTTTTTACCCTTTCAACTGGTACAAAAACTGACACCTTTATACAAGGCATCATGTTTGCAATAATCACAACACAAATAGTCAAAATGCAAACTAAAAGAAACAACTCTGATGATGATAATGATATGCACTGTCCTTGAAATTGATTGGTCCACACCCGAGACAGCTTTTCTTAGAGCCTAGTCTCCATTGGCGTCATCTGGTTCAACACCAATGGAGACTAGGCTCTAAGAAAAGCTGTCTCGGGTGTGGACCAATGAACTTCAAGGACAGTGCATATCATTATCATCATCAGAGTTGTTTCTTTTTGTTTGAATTTTGACTGCTTGTGTTGTGGTTATTGCACACATGATGCCTTGTATAAAGGTGTCAGTTTTTGTACCAGTTGAAAGGGTCAAAACCTACTAATATATTTTGCCACTGGTAAAGGAGATGTCTCAAAGTTCTAGCAAGCGCGTCGTATCCCAAGCAAGACGTCGTATCCCAAGGCACTTTTTTCTCGTCAAAACACGACCTGTACCAAATTCGATGTATTTCAAAGCGGTTGTATACCGAGGTATGACTACTCTAAACCGGTGTTCTTCTCGAATTATCGGAGGGGGGTGGGGGGGGGCGCCCACTTCGCCGATAAGACATCGGTGTGAGGGCCGCCGCACATCTGAAACTATTGGGGTTGACAGCGCGATGATGGGGGGGTATTTTCACATTTGTGAAATCGTCTGGGGCCGCACTTAAAGGCCACCAGGGGATGCAGTTGCCCGCGGGCCTTGCAGTGAGGAACATTGCTCCAAACGTACGTGTGGAGCATCCGCATGCAGTGCGTCTTTTACCGAATTCGAAAAACAAAGGCCTCCTCTTGTTACGTTGGTTGCCTACCCCCGGGCTAGGGAGAAGAGATGGGTTGTTTTAAGGAAGGAAGGGAAGCAGGTTAGGGATGATGATGTGCGTATGCGTCGCGGTGAACTTGTTTCGCAACGGTACGTAGCCAACCATGCTAATCGGAGGTGCGATTGCCAAGGGGGGTACACGGCAGAGGTCGCAAACGGGTTTTGATTTCTTACCCGTACCTGTACCCGGCCGCACCAGGGTCGCAAATGGGTACCTGTACCCGGTCGGGTACGGGTACCCGTTCCCTACCCGTACTCGTACCCTGCCCGAAATGAGTGCAACACAGAGGTCGCAAACGGGTTTTGATTCCTTACCCGTACCCTACCCGATACCCGGCTACCCGTACCCGGCCGGGTATCGGGTAGGGTACGAGTATGGGGTACCCGATTGCAACCTCTGGGATGAAGCCATGTTGCAGGCGCGGGTGGGTTGATTCTAGGAACTTGAATTGTGAGAAGAGACAAGACGTTGGGAAATGAGTGACAAACGGTGACTCGCCAGTGACTCACGGCCTACCCGTACCCGTACCCGGCCGCACCAGGGTCGCAAACGGCTACCCGTACCCGTACCTGGCCGGGTACGGGTAGCCGGGCATCGGGTAGGGTACGGGTATCGGGTACCCAGTTGCGACCTCTGGTACACGGGGGATTTCCGCGTGATGTGCTGCAGATGTCGTCGACGCGCCCCTACATCCGCAAGAAGGCGGTGCTCATCATGTACAAGGTGTTCCTCAAATACCCCGAGTCGCTCCGCCCGGCATTCCCTCGTCTCAAGGAGAAGCTGGAGGACCCAGACCCAGGCACGGCTTGACCCCCCTCCCACTCACACCCCCTCGTGATCCCGGAGCACCGCGACCCCACAGAGATAACGACATATTAGCTGACACATCTGAACTGTTTTGAATTTTACCGGTTAAGGCCTACTGAGCGATATAGCTTGTTTTTTTCAGAAGCGACCCGGCCACAAATGGTCAGTCGACGCACGCTGATTCTAAATGTGGAGGGAAAAAGGAGAGGACCCGGATAAAAATCCACACCACCACCACGGGGAGCGAGGACATGCAAACTCCAAATATACAGCAAGCGTCAGGTTCTGGATAGAAGCCATGATCTCCTGTATGCCAGGCGAGGTAGTTAACATCTCGCCACCGACTTGACCCGGGCACTTGAATTGTATGCATGTATGTTGAACTTTTTTTTCGCATTGGACGTAGCCAACCGTGCCAATAAAAACCTCACCCCAACCCCGTAATACTGACCCTGACCCCTGACTCTAAACGTTGAACTTCATGCTTAATGCGGACCCAAACAACACATTCCTGCGGAGGGAGCTGGTAGGAACGTTGGGTTGCTCGGTCAATGGCCAGGGTCAACGGCGGCGTGGTGTATTCCGCAAATATGGCCGACTGTGAGGGCGGGCACAAGCCGGCGTGAGTAGGTTAAACATTGAGTTTTATAAGGGCACCACGGGGTGACCAGCCCCTCCCCACCCAGCCCCTCCCCTCAATCCCCCACCCAGCCCCACCCTCTCCACCCAGCCCCACCCTCTCCACCCAGCCCCTCCCCACCCAGCCCCTCCCCACCCTCCCCTCCCCACCCAGCCCCTCCCTGCACGACACATGGACGGACACAATAATCCCCTGTGGGCTGGTGTAACCAGGAGGTTCCTACCAGTATAAATGTGTCGTTTACCCAGCACCACCACCCGCCGCCGCCAATTATCAACGTTTATCCCATGAACAAAACGTCCCAATTAGTTACTACTTCAGCACACCGGTTGGCCGTGTCGGGTGGTGGCGGGTTTAACAACGCACATTCACGCGATCTAACCCGAGAAACCCTTTACTTGTGAATCACACCGCTCGCGAAAGCCTCCCACGTGCTTAAACCGCCGAACCCAAACGGTTCTTTCTCAAGACGATGACCTCCGCCCTCAATTACTGGAGCCGGCGCTAGCGTGTGCGACGGCGGTGGGGCCCGTCGCCGCCTGTTGTGTAACCACCGCGACGGCTCGGGGGTGCTGTCCGCTCCCTGCGTGCGTAGGCGTGCAGTCGGCGGCGATGAACGTGATCTGTGAGCTGGCGCGGAGGAACCCGAAGAATTACCTCTCGCTGGCGCCGCTGTTCTTCAAGCTCATGACCTCGTCCACCAACAACTGGGTCCTCATTAAGATTATCAAGCTGGTGAGATCCCCCCACCGCCACCGCCGCTCGCCGACCTTGCCTCCTTGGAATAATTGTGAAATAATAACTGCAACTTGCGTAAAGGCCATCCCCGCTCCACGTTGGTCTTGAGGGGTTCATTTGTGGGGATCGGTAGTGTAGCGATTTTAACGCGTAGGCTTTCGCGACCAATATCATCCATAATGCAGGTTTTTTTGTTGGGTTAGATTTGCGTATGAATATATAAATGTGTCGTTAAACCCGCCGACACAGCCAATTCGTGAGGTTTGCCAATTCGTGACTCGTCCGGCACACCCAGAAAAACCCGCTATAGTGGATAATATCAGTCGCGAAAGCCTACGTCTTCTTGGTTCTTTCGGTAAAGTCACGTAGAATGGAAATAATAAAATAATAAAAATAAAACATAATAAAATAATTCTCACTGTGAGAATTATTCTATTATGTTTTATTTTTAATTCTCACTGTGAGAATTATTTTATTACGTTTTATTTCTATTATTTTATTACTTCCATTCCACGTGACTTTACCGAAAGAACCAAGAAGATGAATCCCTGCAGTCGCGAAAGCTTTAAATCGAAAAAGAAAGAGCCTACGTGTTAAACTTACTGAAGTGACTCGTGTTAATTCCGCTCTTGGGTTCGTTCCCCCCCCCCTCCCCCCCCCCAATGCGAATGGACCCGCGACGGATATCCGCTGGGGGACCGCCGCAACGTAGGTCGGAAATGAGCGCCCGGGGCGGTGGGTGTTTTGCGTTCTCTCTGTGCTCGCAGTTTGCGTCGCTCACTCCCCTGGAGCCACGGCTGGGAAAGAAACTCATCGAGCCTCTCACCAACCTCATTCACAGGTGGGGGGTGGCGTTCGCGACGGGGCATGCAAACGCCGCCACACTGCGTATGAATTCCCCGCCGACACGTACTCGCGCACGCACACCGACACCCCCGTGTCCACGCTATTTTACCCGCTTTTGGCAGATGGTTTCTGAGATCTGCCGTTTGTAAAAAAAAAATATAAAAACATCACTTGGGGTATGGTGAGACCGGGAGGTTGTTAAACACGAACACTTAAAAAATGTACCCGTAAAAACAAAGTTTTTCACCATAAATCCTTTATATGCGTGGCGGCTAGAGTCCTCTCGTCCTCTGGCTTGAGATGGCTGCCTCCTATGGGTCAGATGATTGCCTGGCAGCATTAAGCAATTGGTAATTAAATATTTTAAAAAAAATCCTAAAAAGTTTAAAATATAGCAAATTTTTTTTCACGAAAATTAATTGTCACACACAACGAGTCTGTGTGGAAAATGTCAGCTCGATTGGATCACGGGAAGTGGGTTAAAAAACGACCGAAAGATTTGCACGGTCGTAAGCGCACAAGCAAGCAAGCAAGCGAACTTAATATAAAGGATTTAAATAAAAAACGACCGAAACATTTGCACGGTCGTAAGCGCGCAAGCAAGCAAGCAAGCGAACTTAATATAAAGTATTTTAAAAATATATGCACGAATATATGGCCACGACAAGCCGCGTGCTTGCAATCGTCCTGAGAAGCGGGATTTGGAACGAGTGGATCGGAGAACGCGCCGTGGGTTCGAGACGTCGCGTTGACCGTTGAACAAAAAGTTCGGTGGGCTTGGGCAGGCAACGCTCGGTGATCGAAATTGTCGACCGAGCGAGCGGCAGCCGACAGAGGGTAACAGAACCGCGGAGACCAAATCTACACAAAGAGATGTGAGCGTTGAAATCGGCTCGTGCACAGCAGCTACAGGCATGCTGCGTTTTACACTGCAGGACCATGAGATGGTCTCAAACTTTGTGGAGGCACTTCTCATCAAGCAATGGATTGTTCATGGTTCAGAATCCGATTTCTTTGCTTATCCTGGAGAAATACGCACAGATGTCCAGCACATGCACACGCACACAGACGAGATGGGCGTAGACCGTTGCCTACAGACACAAGCACACACATTCTATATACACTACCGCCACACACCCATGCATGCGCGCGCACGTACTCGCACTTACACCTGTATCCACACTTAACGCGCCTCGTTAACTGCCTGTGTACGCTGTTGCGCCACTCGGCACCGTACACACACACACACACACTTATTGCCTACAACAACAACCACCGCCGTTCGCCACTAAGCGGCGGTGACGTCACCACGGCGCTTATGCCAGGCCAGGTGCACTTTTAGGCCCTTCACGTGAACTGTCCAATGCTCGCTGCCGGCAGGAGGTCACGGGTTCGATTGACTGAGATGACTGGCAGATGCACCACCTGTGCCCTCTGCTGCGCCAATTTGCTATGTTTTAGCCCCCCGGCGCTCCGCTGGTTGTTGTGAGCGATGTTTACATACCGCACCAGGTACTCATTTGAGGTTGAGTCGACCAATGGCGATGCCCAGGACCAGTTCAAATGATCGTCACTGGTGTTAACTGTGAACGGGAATCGAACTTGGGTTGTCTTGTTCGTAGCGCAGCACGCTAACCTCTGCGCCACTGCTTCTCACAACAAAGATCCCCCCCCTATAGCTTAGACAGACTGTTGGGGCAAGTGCTGTTAGCGAGCACCTATGAAGGCCGGCACGGCACAGCACATGAGGGGGTAGGTGGCCAGCACCACACCTGGACTGCCTTTGTCTCCCCAGTGGCGATGTTTACACACCGCACCAGGTACTCATTTGAGTCCGAGTTGACCTAGAGAAAGGCCCGGGACCGGTTCAGATAATCGTCACTGTGGTGTTGGCCGTGAGTGGGAATCGAACTCGGGTCGCCGGATTCGTAGCGCAGCGCGCTAACCATTACACCACCGCTCCCCACAACACACGCACACACACACCTTTAGTTGAACACGTGCACGCTGCGTGCTCGCCGATATCATGCGCGGCGCACGCGCGCTCCTCGTTGCTGTTGTCGTAATCGCTGTCTCTCCGTAACACTGCCTTCCCCTCCACCCTGTGCCTTGACTGCAAAGTTCGCTCGTTACCACTGGGGTCGATTTTGGGTTCTGGAGCTGTTGTGCGTGTTTGTACGCGCGTGCCTGTGTGTGCGCGTGCGTGTGCGCGTGCGTGTGCGCGCGCCCGTATGTCCGTGGACCTATGCGTGTGTGTGCGTGTGTGTGTGTGCGTGTGTGCGTGTGTGCGTGTGTGTGTGTGTGCGCGTGTGTGTGTGTGTGCGCGTGTGTGCGCGCGTGTGTGCGTGTGTGTGTTTGTACGCGCGTGCCGGTATGTCCGTGGACCTATGCGTGTGTGTGTGTGCGTGCGTGTGTGTGTGCGTCTGTGCCTGCATTAGCCGGCAAAACGTCTCGACAATGTGAGTACGCTGCAGCTGCTGCTGCTGAGACGCAGAAACTCGCCCGCTCTCTCTCTCGCTCATTACCCACCCCGAGCCTCTCTCTATTCGTCCTTGAGTCGTGCATCCCCCCCCCCCTTCCTCTACTCCACCACGCTCTCATCCTTCCGTCTCTCCCTCCTGCCGTGCCATCCCACGTCGTGGCGCGTCGCTTGAGCCTCACGGCGGCCCCTTGCGGCCTGGCCCCATTGTGCCTCTTCCCCAAGCCCAAGCAGGGCTTTGGTGTGGCCATCAATCGGATGGGTTACCACCACCCTTCCCCCCCAAATGTGCAGTACAGTTTAGCTGTCGATGATCCACTGGCAGATTATTGAGCTTGTGGGTTAATATGCCTGATTTGAAGCTTTCGTGACTGCAAGGATTCATACTCTAGTTCTTTCGGTAAAGTCACGTAGGTAAAAAATGAAATTAAAATGAATAAAAAATAAAATAATAAAATCACGATGTTTCCGTGACGGTCCCACCTGATGACGGAGACTTGTGTTGCCTCCGAAACGTCGTGATTTTTTATTATTTTATTTGTATTAATTTTAATTTCATTTTTACCTACGTGACTTTACCGAAATAACTAAGAGTATAGTATGCCTGAGTTTTTTTTGACTTGCATGGTTTCACTATTGGCTGCTCCTCGCTCGACGAAGGTCTGTAGCTTTGCCTGCTGCGTGACCGCAAACACGTCTGTGTGGCAACTGAACGCGATAATTGTTTTTTTACCCTTTTATCTGGCAGCAAAACTGACACCTTTTTTTACAAGGAGTCATGTTTGCATTGACCACAATACCTGCGGTCGGAATGCTAACAAAAAACACAACTCTGACAATGTATGCACTGTCCTTGAAATTGATTGGTCCACACCCGAGACAGCTTTTCTTAGAGCCTAGTCTCACATGGTGTTGGACCAGATGACGCCAAAAGGCGCACAACTCAAAGGCAATGCACCATCAGAGTATGAGAGCTCGGGGTAAGCATTTACACCATTGAAACCTCCTTTGCCAGTAGAAAAATATGATAATTGTTTTTTACCCTTTTATCTGGCAACAAAACTGACACCCTTTTTTACGAGGAGTCATGTTTGCATTGACCACAATACCTGCGGTCAGAATGCAAAAAAAAACACAACTCTGATAATGTATGCACTGTCCTTGAAAAAAGCTGTCTCGGGTGTGGGCCAATCAATTTCAAGGACAGTGCATACATTATCAGAGTTGTGTTTTTTGTTTGCATTCCGACCGCAGGTATTGTGGTCAATGCAAACATGACTCCTTGTTAAAAAAAAAGGTGTCAGTTTTGTTGTTGGAGATATTGACTACCTCGCCTGGTATGCAGGAGGTTGTGGGTTCGATGCCAACCCTGACGCCTCCTGTATATTTGGAGTTTGCGTGTCTCTCATCATCATCACAGTGGCTCGGAGATGTTGACTACCTCACCTGGTATGCAGGAGGTTGTGGGTTCGATGCCGACCCTGAAGCCTCCTGTATATTTGGAGTTTGCGTGTCTCTCCCAGCATCATCACAGTGGCTAGGAGATGTTGACTACCTCGCCTGGTATGCAGGAGGTTGTGGGTTCGATGCCAACCCTGATGCCTCCTGTATATTTGGAGTTTGCGTGTCTCTCTATCATCATCATCACGGTGGCTCGGAGATGTTGACTACCTCGCCTGGTATGCAGGAGGTTGTGGGTTCGATACCAACCCTGACGCCTCCTGTATATTTGGAGTTTGCGTGTCTCTCTCTCTCATCATCATCACGGTGGCTCGGAGATGTTAACTACCTCGCCTGGTATGCAAGAGGTTGTGGGTTCGATGCCAACGCTGCCGCCGCCTGTATATTTGTAGTTTGCGTGTCTCTCTCTCATCATCATCACAGTGGCTAGGAGATGTTGACTACCTCGCCTGGTATGCAGGAGGTTGTGCGTTCGATGCCAACCCTGACGCCTCCTGTATATTTGGAGTTTGCGTGTCTCTCTCAGCATCATCACAGTGGCTAGGAGATGTTGACTACCTCGCCTGGTATGCAGGAGGTTGTGGGTTCGATGCCAACCCTGACGCCTCCTGTATATTTGGAGTTTGCGTGTCTCTCTATCATCATCATCACGGTGGCTCGGAGATGTTGACTACCTCGCCTGGTATGCAGGAGGTTGTGGGTTCGATGCCAACCCTGACGCCTCCTGTATATTTGGAGTCTGCGTGTCTCTCTCTCTCAGCATCATCACAGTGGCTAGGAGATGTTGACTACCTCGCCTGGTATGCAGGAGGTTGTGGGTTCGATGCCAACCCTGACGCCTCCTGTATATTTGGAGTTTGCGTGTCTCTCTATCATCATCATCACAGTGGCTCGGAGATGTTGACTACCTCGCCTGGTATGCAGGAGGTTGTGGGTTCGATGCCAACCCTGACGCCTCTATATTTGGAGTCTGCGTGTCTCTCTCTCTCAGCATCATCACAGTGGCTAGGAGATGTTGACTACCTCGCCTGGTATGCAGGAGGTTGTGGGTTCGATGCCAACCCTGACGCCTCCTGTATATTTGGAGTTTGCGTGTCTCTCTATCATCATCATCACGGTGGCTCGGAGATGTTGACTACCTCGCCTGGTATGCAGGAGGTTGTGGGTTCGATACCAACCCTGACGCCTCCTGTATATTTGGAGTTTGCGTGTCTCTCATCATCATCACAGTGGCTAGGAGATGTTGACTACCTCGCCTGGTATGCAGGAGGTTGTGGGTTCGATGCCGACCCTGAAGCCTCCTGTATATTTGGAGTTTGCGTGTCTCTCTCAGCATCATCACAGTGGCTAGGAGATGTTGACTACCTCGCCTGGTATGCAGGAGGTTGTGGGTTCGATGCCAACCCTGACGCCTCCTGTATATTTGGAGTTTGCGTGTCTCTCTCATCATCATCACGGTGGCTCGGAGATGTTGACTACCTCGCCTGGTATGCAGGAGGTTGTGGGTTCGATGCCAACCCTGATGCCTCCTGTATATTTGGAGTCTGCGTGTCTCTCTCTCTCAGCATCATCACAGTGGCTAGGAGATGTTGACTACCTCGCCTGGTATGCAGGAGGTTGTGGGTTCGATGCCAACCCTGACGCCTCCTGTATATTTGGAGTTTGCGTGTCTCTCTATCATCATCATCACGGTGGCTCGGAGATGTTGACTACCTCGCCTGGTATGCAGGAGGTTGTGGGTTCGATGCCAACCCTGACGCCTCCTGTATATTTGGAGTCTGCGTGTCTCTCTCTCTCAGCATCATCACAGTGGCTAGGAGATGTTGACTACCTCGCCTGGTATGCAGGAGGTTGTGGGTTCGATGCCAACCCTGACGCCTCCTGTATATTTGGAGTTTGCGTGTCTCTCTATCATCATCATCACGGTGGCTCGGAGATGTTGACTACCTCGCCTGGTATGCAGGAGGTTGTGGGTTCGATACCAACCCTGACGCCTCCTGTATATTTGGAGTTTGCGTGTCTCTCTCTCTCATCATCATCACGGTGGCTAGGAGATGTTAACTACCTCGCCTGGTATGCAAGAGGTTGTGGGTTCGATGCCAACGCTGACGCCGCCTGTATATTTGTAGTTTGCGTGTCTCTCTCTCATCATCATCACAGTGGCTAGGAGATGTTGACTACCTCGCCTGGTATGCAGGAGGTTGTGCGTTCGATGCCAACCCTGACGCCTCCTGTATATTTGGAGTTTGCTTGTCTCTCTCTCATCATCATCATCATCACAGTGGCTAGGAGATGTTGACTACCTCGCCTGGTATGCAAGAGGTTGTGGGTTCAATGCCAATCCTGTGACGCCTTCTCCTGCTGTATATTTGGAGTTTGCGTGTCTTTCCCCCTCCAGTGTGTTTGCCTGCACATCTTAGAGACTTGTGTTGAGAGCTTTTGGCCGCGATACATTTCCACGCGATAAGCCGCTTCGTTGAGCTATCCATTTGTGGCCAGGTCACTTCTTAATAAGTATAACCCGTAAAAACAAAGTTTTTCACTCTAAATCCTTTATATGCGTGGCGGCTAGAGTCCTCTCGTCCTCTGGCTTGAGATGGCTGCCACCTATGGGTCAGATGATTGCATTGCACCATTAAGCAATTGGTAATTAAATATAATATTTTTGTCCTAAAAAGTGTAAAATTTTGGAAAAAAAATTTCACGAACATTAATTGTCACGCACAACGCGTCTGTGTGCAAAATGTCAGCTCGATTGGATCACGGGAAGTGGGTTAAAAAACGACCGAAAGATTTGCACGGTCGTAAGCAAGCAAGCGAACTTAATATAAAGGATTTTAAAAAATGCGAGGTGGCTGGCAGAGTGGGTGGGCAGCTCGGAGGTGAGAGACGTGCAAGCTTGCACCGCTGATATTGTAGGTTTCGAATTTGGGTTTGTTCTTTGCTGCCCGCGATTGTAAATCGGTTTCGCAGGTACAGTGGTACCCTGGAGATCGAACTTAATTCGTTCCAGAAGATCCATTCGAATAACCGATTTGTTCGAACACCGAATAAATTTTCCCCATAAGAATTAATGTAAATGACATTAATTGGTTTCGGACACAAGAATTATATCATTATGAAGCATTTTTACACGAAGTGTGCAGTAATTGCATGCATAAAATCATACCAAAAAAACAAGAAACACAATAAATAAATGGAATAAATATATAGAATAAATGAAATAAATTTTACATTGAACTTCACTTTACCTGTAGTAAGGAGAGTTGATGGTTTGAGTGGAAGGTGGTGAGGAGGAGGTGGTGGTGTTATTGTTTGGAAGGGGAGTCGCCTTCCACAATAACGTCGGGTAACTGCCCTTCTGGGGTTCTTTCTCTTTTGTGCCTCTTTTCTGCCACTAACTGTGAGTCACTTGAGCTCTTTCTGACTAAAAACTTATCTAAAGAGGTTATCATACGGTAAAACCTTCGTCTGGGCAAGCGTCATGCACGCTGACCAAACGTGTCTCAGCCGTACAGGTTCTTGCAAGTTGCGATTGCCCGTTCGACCTCCGAATTTCGTTCGATTTCCGGGCCAAAAAATGTTCGCGAATATCGTTGGAACACCGATTTGTTCGAGTTCTGGTGCGTTCGATCTCCGAGGTTCTACTGTATAGCCAAGCTGGCGCCGCTGTGAATGCGGAGTTTGAATTTGGGTTTCCGGCTACCCCGTGCCTCAATGGCGGTCCTCAACTGTTCGCGAGTTGACTGATCTCGGCGCCGTCACCAGTGACGGAGCAACAGATACCACCGCATGAAATGTTTGTTTCTCCGTATCGTTTCTCCGGATGTCCGACTCTTGAGAAGTGGAAGAATAAAAAAGAACGTCGGCTTGACTGCCGTACGGCTAAACGTAATGGGTCTCGTAGCAGAGCGTGCGGGGAACGTGCAAAAACCGCGTCGCCTGTCGCCGCAGCCGTTTTCCCAAAATACCGGAAGTGCAACGTCTCTCTGAATTGATGCTCATCTAAACAGGCGCCAGAGGTCGCAACCGGGTACCCGATACCCGTACCCTACCCGATACCCGGCTACCCGTACCCGGCTGGGTACGGGTAGCCGTTTGCGACCCTGGTGCGACCGGGTACGGGTACGGGTAAGGAATCAAAACCCGTTTGCGACCTCTGACAGGCGCTAAGCCAGTGTTGTGATTGAGTTGTTTTTGTCCCGCACCTCCCGATCGGCATGGTTGACCACGTACGTTGCAGAAGAAGCTCAACAAACACACGCGCATAATTTGGTGTCGTGACCCCTGACCTCCGACTCGTTGACCCGGAATTGACACGTCCGGCGATTCGATGCCGAAAGAGCGGTGATTTGGGCAGCGCGTGCGAGGCGAGCGTTGCATGCGGACGCACATCATCATCATCATCATCTGAGAGAGGGGTTCTTTAACTCTATTTTCCCGGTGGATCGCAACAACAACAAAAAAACTGTGCCCTGCACTGGCAGGCTTCGTGACGATCATATGTCACCAAGTCGTGGAGCATCATAACATCATCCGTATTATCCTGTACACGTGACCACTTTTGCCGCCTGGTCTATCTTTCATTAACGATAAGCTGTAACTACAGTCGAATCTTGTCTATCCGTTGTTCATCTCTCTGGCTTCTCACTAAATTATATCACTTGTGCACTGCACTCTCATCTCTAACTTTTATTTCTCTCTCATCTTCCCAATGTCCATCTCTTGTTCAGTTTGCGTTTAGTTTGTTGTCTTTCCCCCCCGCATCTCCGATTAGCACGGTTGGCTACGTAACGGTTCGAAAGGAGTTCAACGTACATACATGCATCTCTCTATCTCTCTATCCCTTGCTTCGTTTGTCTCCGCGAGCCATATGTACGTGCGTACGTTGAACTTCTTTCGCACCGCACGTAGCCAACCGTGCTAATCAGAGGTGCGCGGGACGGACAATAATCTAAACACCATATCTCTCGGCGAGCCATATCTCTCAGCGAGACATATGTACGTGCGTACGTGGAACTTCTTTCGCACCGCACGCAGCCAACCGTGCTAATCGGAGGTGCGGGGGAAGGACAACAAACCAAACGCCAGATCTCTCGGCAAGCCGCTCCAAGAGCTTGCACGGATCAGATGTTGCCCGCGCGGGGGAGTTCCAGTTGAAGAACCCTGCTTTGCCGTAGGGTGCTCGTTCGCCAATTAATCTTGGCTGCGCTTCCATCTTAAAGCACCTCACCCCCCCCCCACCCCCTGGGTTGCAGTCGCGCAGGCCGGTTCGCGTTGGAGATGGACCAGAGGTCGCAACCGGGTACCCGATACCCGTACCCTACCCGATACCCGGCTACCCGTACCCGGCCGGGTACGGGTACCCATTTGCGACCCTGGTGCGGCCGGGTACGGGTACGGGTAGGCCGTGAGTCACTCGTGAGTAACTGTTTGTCACTCATTTCGGGTAGGGTATGGGTACGGGTAGGGAACGGGTACCCGTACCTGGCCGGGTACGGGTACCCATTTGCGACCTTGGTGCGGCCGGGTACGGGTACGGGTAAGGAATCAAAACCCGTTTGCGACCTCTGGGGTGGACGGGCGGGAGATGGGTTGGCGTCACCACCCGTTGTGCTCGGCGTTGATCGGTTGCTAACTCGAGTGCCGCCCCCCCCCCCCCCCGATCTCCCCCCCCCCGCACCCTCCCTCTGTGTTGGCAGCACTTCGGCGATGTCGCTGCTGTACGAGTGCGTCAACACCGTCATCGCAGGTACGGCAGCGCGGTTGACGGGGGCGGGGAGGGGGGGTGGTGGGCACGGTTAATGGGGCGGCACTGGATACCGCAATAAAACGTGGGGGGGGGGGGGTTGTGGTGGTGGGGGTGGGACCCACAGAGCTGCTTTTCGTGTTTAGTTGTTGGCCTTCCTCTGCATCCTCCGAGTAGCACGGTTGGCTACGTACGGCGCGAAAGGGGTTCTCCGTACGTACGCGCGTACAAACACGGGACTGCTCGTGCTGAAGCTGAGACGCTGCATCTGCTTGACGGCACATGCCTGATCATTACATGGCAGTGATTATAAAAGCTGTTCTCCGATAAAGTAATGACAGTTGCATTATGAAGTGACCGTTACAATGTGAATTTCGGTGTCCCTTGTCAATAAGATATTGAGAATCGCAGTGGGCCCGCATCTCATCAATAACGGTCGTTGAACCGAATGGGATTCGGTCCAGAGCTGACTGCTAAAGATGCGCAAACAGCGAGAGGAGCCACTCGTTGAAGCTGCCTGCCCAGCTGTAGATGGGATCCCATTTCAACTAGAACAGGGGGGTGGGGAACGTCCGGCCCGCGGGCCGTATAAGGCCCGCAAATTAGTCTGTTCCAGCCATCACATTTAGGGGCGAGTTAATTAAATGTTTGACAAAATATAACGGGCTAATTTTTAAGTTGATAATTTTGTACGGCCCGCGAATGATGTTATAAACATCCAAATGGCCCTTGGCAGAAAAAAGGTTTCCCACCCCTGTTCTAGAGTAACAGAGTTAGGAAGGAAAAATATAATTCAATAAAAATAATTCATTGTATCGTGGTACTGTATCAAATAATATAAGTTCGAGTGCCATTCGACAAACAAAATATTTTTTATTTAAACCTTTCGTGACTGCAGGGATTCATATTCTTGGTTCTTTCGGTAAAGTCACGTAGAAGGGAAATAATAAAATAATACAAATATTAAGCAATAAAAATTCTCACGACGTTTCGACTGCAACACAAGCAATCATCATCAGGTGTGAAATCCACAGCAAGAAAATGTTATTTTGCCCTTCTCCGTGACTTTTACCGAAAGAACCAAGAATATGAACAAAATTCGCTTTCATATACAAGGATCTCAGGAGGCAGCGCTATGATATCCACCTCCGTGGGTCGTTCTCTACCGCAAATAGTTGAACTGCTCTGCACGAGAACTGACGTGACCCCGAAAAGCACAGTCGGGATAAAATTGGTGACGGCGAAAAGAATACAGAGACAGCGTGCACACGATGCAGACAGTAGGACACCACGGTGGCGAGATGTTAATGATCTCGCCTGGAATGGACCTGCCCCCACCACCACCACTCCCACCACCCCACCACTCCCACCGCCCCACCACTCCCACCATCCCACCACTCCCACCGCCCCACCACTCTTACCACCCCACCAGCTCTCCACCCCACCACCCTACTTCTCCCACCACCCCACCTGCACTCTGCTCCACTAGCCCACCAGCCCCCACCACTCACCACCACCCCACCAGCCCCATCCCATCACTCCACCACCCCAACAGCCCCCCTATCCCACCACGACACCAGCCCACCACCACTGCACTCCCACCACCCCACTACTCTCACCAGCCCCCCACCCCACCACCCACATCACCACCCACACCGCCCTGCCGCCCCCCACCACGACCACCAACCGGGAGTTTAAACTTGCAACCTTCCTCGTGTGAGGCTGTTCGCTCTGACCGCAGCACCACTCTACCAGCAATAGCCGGCCGATGTTCGGGATCCATCCTCGAGTCTGAGCCAGTTATTATTTCTTGGCAACGGTCTTCAAACCGGTGTCGTTATTCCAAAAGAGCTTACCCTGTTGCGGCCAACATGGGGCATTGGCGATGGGCTGGGCTCGTAAGAGTGCGTGATGAACAAACGTTCCGACTTGCTCACAGGGTGAATTCACATGCGAGTGACGTTGGAGGAATGTCGTTGTTGTTGCCGTGATTTATGTTGCTGCTGCTGTTGTTGCTGTTGCTGCTGCTGCTGTTGTTGCTGCTGCTGCCCCTGTCGCTACCTACGCCGATTCTTTTGGCTGCTGACGACGCTTGGTTTGTCCGACGGTGTGGCCATATCTCCCTCTCGCCTTTCTCAAAATCCAACTGCGCTTGCTTGGCTGCGAAAAAAGATTGCCACGCTTCTCTTTGTAATTTTTTCGCTTTCTGCCGAGAGCACCGAGCCCCAATCGCCTCCGAGCCTGGGTTCGACACCTGGCGCAGGGTGTCTTGCACAGGCTCGTAATGGATGGGGCAGAGCAGCGCCCTCGCCCCCACCCACCCACCCACCAGGAGGTTGTTTGACTCTTGCTCCACCACGTTGGTTATTGCGGGTGGGCTGTTGAGGGGGGGCAGAAGCCCAAGACTGTTGCTCGGATATCACTTTCCACCGGTCAGTTTCAGTTTTCAGTGAAATTTATTAGGATTTACCCTGTGAGCCATTCGGCTCTTGATTTGGGTTCAACCGCAACAAACAATAACATTACAAGATACACCTAAAATTAATTGCACACAAATCTAAACATCACATACGTAAACAATACAATCCTACAGAAAAAGCACAACCCGTCCATGGTGCATATACAGAAAGTGCAAAAAAAAAATCCATTTCGATGTTCGATCCCAATAACACAGCGCTTTGACCAATGCACGTCCGTTGCTCTTCTTTGTCCAAAAGAGTAATGATGATAATAACGCCACCAATAAAATAACAAAGTGACGGATTTGTCCTGGAAAGCCTCGGCGAGTCCAGACTTTTAGAGGGGTCCTAGGTGAAGGATGCGTTGCCGATTTTAACTTGAAGCAGTGTTTTTAGTTTTTTCGCCGCTTTGCTTCGCAGTCGGGGCTTTGCGCTTTGGTCTCGCGGCGATTCAAGGTGTGACGGTGTCGCCGTCGTAAAAAAAATGTCTGTCGGTCTCTCTCTGTCCAATCGCCGCTCGGTTTGCGGTTTAGAGACTTTCTGTGCAACAGCAGATGCCTTCGCAACTCACCCCGACCACCCCAATTCTCCCTCGGTCCGTTCCGATCATCACCACTACCCACCCACCCCAATTCTCCCTCGGTCCGTTCTGATCACCACCACCCACCCACCCACGTGCGCCCGCCAAATCGTTTCCATGTTTCCTTAAGCCTAATGCATGCATTGTACGATTGGTCACGAAAGAGGATGCAGTGACCCCTCCCGATGAAATTCGGATACCGTTCGGCTCACCCCCCCACCCATGTTTGGCACGGGCCGCCCTGGTGCAAGGAACAAAATGGGTCAAATTTCTCTCCTCATCCGTAGCCCGGTGCCCAAGTCCCCAACCGCCCGCCTCCCAGGCCTGTAGGCGCCGGTGCAGTAGCACAACCTGCACACCCGATAGCAACCGGTGGCTGACGCCCGCTTCTCGGTGCTCAAATAAATAATTTGATCGGGCCCGGTCAGAACTGGGGCCGAGAGTATGTGGTGGTCGGGACGAGTGTGTGTGAACTCTATCTGTCGAATGATTGCACGGCGTATCTTCGGTATCGTCCACGCACACACAGAGACTCGAGTTGGAAGGTATTTAAAAGCCCAGTGGGGTTTTTAAATACCTTGGCGGGCCACGCGTTTTCACACGCCACCTCGGTTACATCTGGCACTGCAAGAGAGCCTTGAAGTGAGAGGTGTGACTGCGCTAAAATTCGAAATTAGTGTTTGGCAGCTTGAAAATATTTTCAATTCTAAGAGCCGATTCGTGCAGTTAAGATGCCTGCAATGGTGAAAAACTATCGTTTGTGGGCCATTTCGAAGTGGTAGGGCCTTAGGTGGCTTTTGGACCCTTATTAAATTAAGTTTTGGGCCACATCCAGCCCATGGGCCATAGGTAACCTCCCCCACCACCACCACCCCTGAGTTAAATTCGTGGCATGGTGGGTATTTCCCACAATGCTCCCTCTCAGCTTATCAGATTATTTATTCATACCGGAGGAATCCGATGAGTTGTAAATCTCATTTTGACATGTCCAGTAAGGGGCGGGTCATAACGTTATAATGACAAACAATACAAAAACGCAATCGGAGTACACAGTTTAGGAAAGGTAAACCAATCACTTAATAAAAATATACAGATAAAACAACAACTTTTTTTTATCTTACCGAGCCCACTGAGCTCTTCGCTTATTTTTCAGAAGTGACCTGGTCACAAATGATAGCTCAACGAAGTTGGGTCATCATCGCGTGGAAATTCACAGCAGCAAAAACGCCGTCGAAATAATAAAAAATGCCACACGACCCGACCCCTCTCCCAGCCCACTTCGCTTCGCTAATCAGACAGTCCAAGTAGCCCAGGCAGAGGTCGTAATCGGGTATCCGATACTCGTACCCTACCCGTTACCCGGCTACCCGTACCCTTTTGTGACCCTGGTGCGGCCGGGTACAGGTACGGGTAGGCCGTGAGTCACTGGTGAGTCACCGTTTGTCACTCATTTCCCAACGTCTTGTCTCTTCTCACAATTCAAGTTCCTAGAATCAACCCACCCGCGCCTGCAACATGGCTTCATCCCAGAGATCGCAATCGGGTACCCGTTCCCTACCCGATACCCGGCCGGGTACGGGTAGCCGGGTATCGGGTACGGGTATCGGGTACCCGATTGCGACCCTGGTGCGGCCGGGTACGGGTAAGGAATAAAAACCCGTTTGCGACCTCTGAGCCCAGGTAGGAAGGCCCTCAGCCTCTCCCTGGAACCATGGCCCACTCTAGCCCCGTGCGTGTGCCAGCGTGCACGCGCGCACACGCGTGTGTGTGTGGACGATAGCCGTGGTGCGTCTCCTGTCCTCCTGGCTGCTGGCACGGGAGCGGGGGTCTCTCACTAACGCTCGCGCCCCCCCCTCCCCTCTCCCGCTCTCTCCTTGCCTCCCTCCGTGTCATGACCACAGTTCTCGTTTCCTTGTCTTCAGGGATCCCGGACCACAATGCTAGCATCCAGGTAAAGGAAAGATGACGACGACGACCCCCTTGACCCGAATACCTCCTTGACATCTAAGTATAACCTCCCTGACTGAAACGCTCCCATGACCCCCCACCCACCCAATGATCTGAACTCTGACCCAGACTGAACACTTCCCATGACCCCTCCCATGACCACCCCTACCACCCCTCCCCCCCCACAATAATCTTAATTCTGACCCTCGCACGTGGCCACTCGTATTTATTTGAATGTGGACGATTGACCCCCCCCCCCTTTTGACCTGCCCCTGACCTTTAACCCCGCTCAGTGCTACTCTGACTGAGACTCGACAACGAGACCGTGACCGTTTTCTTCCCTCCTTTACCCCCTTCGAAATGTGACTTTGCTCTTTAATATTTTTCATTTATTTTGAGTGTGGTACATCCAGATGCAAGGTATGTACACCATTCTCCTATGGCATGCACGCTCTCTACATTAGAGCTAGATTACTGTGCCTGTCATGTGCAATCGTAGGGTACCAGCTTAAAATGCAATGTTACTTTAATCTTGGACTCTTGAGTATTTTGTTTACATTGTTCAATGCTTCCGTGGTGTGATGCATTAGCCCGTTCAGAAATTTGGTGATGGCGCTGCTGCTGCTGCTGCGTTGGCAGTGGTGCACAAGCACAATTAATAACAACAACTAAAATCAACACTTACTGGATATGTGTGAAAAAGAGCCTTATAGCGCATCAGATTCCTCTAGTATAAATAATTTTTCTGGTTCGGAATAACACTGCGGCCTTAAACAGAAAAAAACACTTAAAGACGACGTTTGATGCAATGGGCCCTTCGTTTGCAATTATTATGATATGAAGAAGAGCCATTGCAGTGTTATTTATGAATGTGTTGAGTTTTCGTAACTTAATTTGTTTGAAAGCAAAGGATTACTTCTGGATTACATTTGTATTCCCGACGTTTTCAATCGCTATCCCATAATCCCATACTTTCAATGCCTTCTGTCTGAATCCTGTGATGATGAAACCACCAGTGCTAAAGCCAAAACACTCCCAAGCCGTATCTCGTGTCAAAATATGTCTAAATGTGTTAGCCTGGCCCTTTAAAAACAAGGAATTACTTTTGGATTGCATTTTTAAATCAGAGGCTCTAACTCTCACTGTATCTTGTAATCTAAGACTCTAAAAACAATACCTGTGTGGTGAGTTCCACGGAGACACACTCTTGAACTTGGAGGCATCACGTTTATTATACGGCCCCAAACAGGTCTACTACTTCAACGTAACAACACGTTAACTAGACCACAATGGGGTAACTACATAACCGGGTCAGTCGGCTAACACACTGCCTGACCCACGATGCCGAGCGTAAAGACCGAGGATCGAAGAGACGTAGCACCAACGGGTTCCATTTGAGCAGACAGCCCAGATGGCTCTCGGGACCTCCCTTTTATGCTCCCGAGCCTGGCCCCGCTCCGCCTTCGGCAACGCCCCCTGCTGGATCTCACCAGAAGGCCCTCGACTGAGCACCACGTGTCCCCCAAGCCACCCTTTGGGTCCCCTCGCTACCCGGTCCCGGTCACGTGCCCTCTCGGGTTCACCCAGACTGTCACGTTCTTACTTGCCCTCTCTCTCTGACCGTCGCCAGAACCATGTCCCCTAGGGCCCCGCTTCCACGCCATGCCCACTCTGGTGGTGCCAGAGAGAGGCTCAAGACGCACAGTTCAACTCTTGTGACAGTAGCTGGTGCTAAACACCATAGTGACTCCTTTACATCGCTACATCTGCATTCAATTGTAATGTTAAATTGTGTTATTTTGGGGCTAACAGAAGAATTTAGATGCAACAAACGATAACAATAGCGATGCTACAGAACAAAGGAGAGAACAATAGCGACAAGATACAGAACAAAGGAGAGAACAATGGTGACAAATACAGAACAATAGCGACCAGATACAGAACAAAGGAGAGAACAATAGTGACAAGATACAGAACAAAGGAGAGAACAATAGCGACAAGATACAGAACAAAGCAGAGAACAATAGCGATGATACAGAACAATAGCGGCAAGATCCAGAACAAACAAGAACAATAGCGACAAGATACAGAACGAAGCAGAGAACAATAGCGATCAGAGACAAAATACACAGGAGAACAATCGAGTTTGTTTTCTTGCCAGGGTCACCAACACCAGTGACGTTTATCTGAACTGGTCCTCGGCCTTCCCATAGGTCGACTCAGCCTCAAATCAATACCCGGTGCAATGTGTGAACATCCTCTTAGGTTTTTTCGGTAAAGTCACGTAGGTAAAAAATGTAAATTAATAAAATAAAACAAATTAAAAAATTCACGACGTTTCGGAAGCAACACAAGCCTCCGTCTTCAGGTGGAACCGTCACAGCCACGACAGCTGTATCAAGTAAATGAGAGATCACAAGAAATACTGCCCCGTATATATACTGGTTGAGGGGGGAAGGGCCAGGAACGGCACACTTTTTTATTAATATGTGAACATCGCCAGGCGTGGCGTTTGCCACCCATCCTCCTTGTGTGCCATGCTGACCTTCATCGCTAACAGCACTTGCCCCAACAGTCTGCTGAAGGCTATACGGGGGGTCTTTGTCTAACGGAGTGAGTGTGTGTGTGTGCGTATAACCCCGTCGCCCTCAGCTCTGTGTGCAGAAACTACGAATTCTCATCGAAGACTCCGACCAGAACTGTGAGTCGTCGTTCTTCTCGCTCGTTAACCGAATCGATGGCCCCTTTAGACGTGGTTACCCCGCGCTGCCGAGATGTTTAACTCCCTTGCCTGGTACGCAGGAGATTGTGGGTTCGATCCCGACAGTGACGCCTGTTTATTCTGGAGTTTGCATGTTTCTCCCCGTGGTCGCGTGGATTTTTCTCCGGGTCCTCCTCCGTTTTTTCCCCTCCACATTTAGAAATATGTTTTTACATTATTTCGATGTAAAGCTTTCGTGACTGCAGGGATTCATCTTCTTGGTTCTTTCGGTAAAGTCACGTAGAAGGGAAGTAATAAAATAATAAAAATAAAACATAATAAAATAATTCTCACGATGTTTCGGCCACAACGCAAGCAGCCGTCCTCAGGTGAAGAACAGGTCTGTCGAGAAGACAGACCTGTTCTCGCGTCTGAATTCAGACGCTGTCTTCTTGACAGACCTGTTCTCCACCTGAGGACGGCTGCTTGCGTTGTGGCTGAAACGTCGCGAGAATTATTTTATTATTTTATTTTTATTATTTTAATTGTTTCCATTCTACGTGACTTTACCGAAAGAACCAAGAAGATGTTTTTACATTATTAGATTATTTGGCTGCTTATGATACATTTTCACGCGATGAGCAACTTCGTTGAGCTATCATTTGTGGCCAAGTCCCTTCTGAGAAAGAAGCTAAAAGCTCAGTGAGCTTTAGATGCTCAAATAAAATAGTTTAGTTCTATTTGTATATATTTTTTGTATCAGTGATTTGCTTACCTTTGCTGTACTTAGCACGCCTATCGTGCTTTTGTATTGTTCGTTGTTGTAACGTTCGTTCTGATCCGGCCCCTACTGGACATCTGTGAGAAAGAGCTTTATAGTCTTAGGTTTTTTTCGGTAAAGTCACGTAGGCAAAAAAAACGAAATACTCATCAAAATAAATAATAGAAATAATAATAATAGAATTAAAATAATAAACAAAAAGCTTTGTAACTCATCAGATTCCTCCCATCAGCAAGTGGGCTCACGGGTTTTGTCTGTCTCTATGGCTTCCCCCCCCTCATGAGCCAGTGAAGTACTTGGGGCTGCTCGCCATGTCCAGGATCCTGACCTCGCACCCCAAGGCCGTGCAACCGCACAAGGACCTGATCCTGCAGTGCCTGGACGGCAAGGACGAGTCGATCCGCCTGCGCGCCCTCGACTTGCTCTACGGCATGGTGCGTGTGTGCGTGCGTGCTTGTGTGCGTGTGTGCCTGCGTGTGCGTGCGTACGTGCGTGTGTGCGTGTGTGCCTGCGTGTGTGTGTGTGTCTGCGTGTGTGTGTGTGTATGTCTGCGTACCTGCGTGTGTGTGTGTGTGTGCGTGTGTGTGCTTGCCTGCGTGTGTGCGTGCCTGCGTGCCTGTGTGTGTGTGTGCGTGCGTGCGTGCCTGCGTGTGCGTGTGTGCGTGCGTGCGTGTGTGCGTGCGTGCGTGTGTGCGTGTGTGCGTGTGTGCGTGTGTGCGTGTGTGCGTGCCTGCGTGTGTGCGTGCGTGCGTGTGTGCGTGTGTGCGTGTGTGCGTGTGTGCGTGTGTGCGTGCCTGCGTGTGTGCGTGCCTGCATGCCTGCGTGCGTGTATGCGTGCCTGCGTGTGTGCGTGCCTGCATGTGTGCGTGCCTGCGTGCGTGTATGTGTGCCTGCGTGTGTGCGTGTGTGCTGGCTATTATTCGGAGAGTTCATCAGACCCATCCGCCCATCGTTTTGTCTGGCCGGTTATTGCTCTGCTTTGCGGCTGACGATGATCGCGTCCTCCGCGTGCCACCCCCCCCCACCCCCTCCCTGCCCTCTCCACCCGCCGCAGGTCTCCAAGAAGAACCTGATGGAGATCGTGAAGAAGCTGATGTCTCACGTGGACAAGGCGGAGGGCACGTCCTATCGCGACGAGCTGCTCACCAAGATCATCGACATCTGCAGCCAGTCCAACTATCAGCACGTCACCAACTTTGAGTGGTCAGTTCCCCGCCGCCCTCGCCTCCCCCCCCCCCCTTCCCGCCTGCCCGCGCACGTGCGACAAGGAGCGACGCTCACAACAACGAGCGAAACGCCAGGGCGGCTGAAACGCGGAAAGTTGGCACAGTGGTGGGCACACAGGTGGTGCTTCGGCCAGTCATCTCAGTCAGTCGACAGAATGGCACCTGGGTTTTTACCGTGACCTCCTGCCAGCGGGCGTTCAACACTTCACGTAGCCTCAACGTGCACGTAGCCTGGCACGAGCGCCGTGGTGACGTCGCCACCACTTAGTTGGCGAATGACGGTTGTTGTGTAGGTACGTGAGCGTGTGTGTATGTAGGTGCGTGTGTGTATGTAGGTATGTGAGCGTGTGTAGGTATGTGAGCGTGTGTGTATGTGTACGTCTACATGTGCGTGCATGTGTGTAGGTACATGAGCTTGTATGTGTAAGTGCGTGTGCGTATGCATGCATGTATACGTGTGTTGTTATGCATGTTCACGTGAGCTTGTGGTGTCGGTACGTGAGCGTATGTGTACGTTCTCTCGTATGCGTGTAGGTACGTCAGCGTGTGTGTAGGTACGTCAGCGTGTGTGTAGGTACGTCAGTGTTTGTGTTGGTACGTGAGCGTGTGTGTGCGTGTGTAGGTACGTCAGCGTGTGTGTATGTAGGTACGTGAGCGTGTTTGTGTAGGTAAGTGAGCGTTTGTGTGTAGGTACGTCAGCGTGTGTGTGTAGGTACGTCAGCGTGTGTGTAGGTACGTGAGCGTGTGTGTGTAGGTACAACACACGTGTGTGTACGTTCTCTCGTATGTGTGCAGGTACGTGAGCGTGTGTGTGTAGGTACGTGAGCGTGTGTGTGTGTAGGTACGTGAGCGTTTGTGTGTAAGTACGTGAGCGTGTGTGTGTGTGTGTGTAAGTACGTGAGCGTGTGTGTGTAGATACGTGAGCGCGTGTGTACGTTCTCTCGTATGCGTGCAGGTACGTGAGCGTGTGTGTGTAGGTACGTCAGCGTGTGTGTGTAGGTACGTCAGCGTGTGTGTGTAGGTACGTCAGCATGTGTGTGTAAGTACGTGAGCGTGTGTGTACGTTCTCTCGTATGCGTGTAGGTACATGAGCGTGTGTGTGTGTGTGTGTAGGTACGTGAGCGTGTGTGTAGGTACGTCAGCGTGTGTGTAGGTACGTGAGCGTGTGTGTGTAGGTACGTGAGCGTGTGTGTGTGTGTAGGTACGTGAGCGTTTGTGTGTAAGTACGTGAGCGCGTGTGTGTGTGTGTAAGTACGTGAGCGTGTGTGTGTGTGTGTAGATACGTGAGCGCGTGTGTGTGTGTGTAAGTACGTGAGCGTGTGTGTGTAGATACGTGAGCGCGTGTGTACGTTCTCTCGTATGCGTGCAGGTACGTGAGCGTGTGTGTGTAGGTACGTGAGCGTGTGTGTGTGTAAGTACGTGAGCGTGTGTGTGTGTGTAGATACAACACACGTGTGTGTACGTTCTCTCGTATGCGTGCAGGTACGTGAGCGTGCTGGTGGAGCTGACTCGGCTGAAGGGCACGCAGCACGGGCCGCGCGTCGCCTCGCAGCTGCAGGACGTGGCGGTGCGCGTGCGCGCTGTGCGCCCCTTCGCCGTGCGCCAGATGGCGCTGCTGCTGGACGAGGGGCCCCAGCGGGGGCTTGCCGACGTCCTGTCGGCCGCCGCCTGGATCTGCGGGGAGTTTGCAGAGTGAGCAGCGATCGCCCCCCCCCCCCCCCCCCGCCGCCCCCCGCCCTGCCACACCACCCGTCAAACTCCCCTTGCCTCCCCCGCCCCTGTCCCCCCATCCCCCCCGCCTCTGTGCCACACGTCCCTCTCCTGTCTTCGCGTATCCCCGTCTCCGCTTTACCCCCCCCCCCCCCCCGCAAACCTCTCCCCCTGCTTCCGTCCCCGCATGTCCCCCGTGTCTCCCAGAGGTCGCAACCGGGTACCCGAAACCCGTAGCCTACCCGATACCCGGCTACCCGTACCCGGCCGGGTACGGGTACGGGTAGCCGTTTGCGACCCTGGTGCGGCCGGGTACGGGTAAGGAATCAAAACCCGTTTGCGACCTCTGGCGGGTGGGGGGCGGGGAAGCGCCCGTCTCGGTTCACCGGCGTGGTGAAGTATGTCCAAACAAACTGCCGTGGCGGTGGATTTGCCACGGGGGGGGGGGGGGGGGGGCACATGTCACGGTGGGCGCACGGACGAGAGAGAGAGAGGACAAACAATACAAATTAAAGACGGTGAGAATCGAGACCAAAGCGAAATATCGATTAGAATCTGGGATCTGATCAAGAGTTTGCATCGTGACGATTCGTCGAAATTTCAGGAAGGAGTCATGTTTGCATAGACCACAATACCTGCAGTCATAATGCAAACAAAAAACATAACTCTGATAATGTATGCACTGTCCTTGAAGTTGATTGGTCCACACCCGAGACAGCGTTCCTTAGAGCCTAGTCTCACATGGGTTGGACCAGATGACGCCAAAATGCGCACAACTCAGAGACAATGCACCATCAGAGTATGAGAGCTCGGGGTAAGCATTTACACCATTGGTACCTGATTTGCCAGTAAAAAATATGATAATTGTTTTTTTACCCTTCTCTCTGGCAACAAAACTGACACCTTTTTACGAGGAGTCATGACACCAATGGTGTACGATGTTAGGTTGTTGATGGCAATTTTGTCTTATCGCTATCGCCATCGTAAGATCGAAATATCGTCAGTCGGACCCCATCGTAACTCGGGGACTAACCTGTATCTGCTTTCCCAACCGCTGGCCTACGCGTGCAGTCATGTCGTGCGCAGCGGCAGTGAAGTGTTTCGCCTGCTGAATGACAATTCCCACGTAGATAAAGATCTATTTGACTTTACCCAAAGACCCAAAGAGTTTTTATTGATTCTAGATTTGAAGTTTTCGTGACTGCAAGGATCCATACTCTCTTTGTTTTTTTCGGTAAAGTCACGTAGGTAGAAAAAGACAAACGCATAAATTAAATCGCGACGTTTCGGAAGCAACACCAGCACATCTGTCATCAGGTGTTGACTGCTCCGGCAAAATTCTTCAGACGCCTCGGTCATTTTGCTGGTGCAGTCAACACCTGAATGACGGTTGTGCGTGTGTTGCTTCCGAAACGTCGTGATTTAATTCATTTGTTTTCATTTTCACCTACGTGACTTTACCGAAAAAACCAAAGAGAATGGATCCCCTTACCCTGTGCGTGAATTTCGCTGAACTCATGACCTCGATGATGTTGAAGGCTGCCCAGCTGATGTTGTAGCCCTGCATCTGAAGCTGCACGTCATCGACACCACCACCATCAGCATGATCAGCATCATCAGGATCAGTAGCGACATCGTGATCAACATTCGCAGCAGGAATAGCAGCAACATCCGTAGCAGCATCGGCAATAGTGTCAAGACCAATATATTTTAACCGGTCCCTGGGGCCTTCCTTTTGGGTCGACTCAGTCTTCAATGAGCACTTGGTGCCATGCCAAGTGCTAGCCACACCCACCCATCGCTCACAGCGCTTGCCCCTTAAACACCTGAACCCAGAACGGCAATGACCGTCTAACCTCCCACCCTTCCCCCAAAGAAAATCCCTTCCTCTCCTCCCCCCGCCTGCTCTGATGAGTCCGATGTGCCCGATACCGTCGACTGCCCTGGCATCACCGCCCGGCAACGTCCTAATGTTGCAGTGTGTTACGTGAGGGAGGATGTGTTGAATCACAAATATTTCACAGCTCTTGCTCCCACCGATCCTAAAAGGCTACGTGGCGGCGGTCGGGGTGGGGGGTATGGGATCTGACGTATGCGTGCGTGCGTGCGTGTTGAACTTCTCGCGCGCGCGCCGTACATCGCCAACCGTGCCCTTCGGAGGTGACGGGGAGGGACAAGAAACTGACCTTCGTCTCGTCGCAGGCACCTGGAAGAGCCGCGCGTGACCCTCGAAGCCCTCCTGCGCCCGCGCGTGTGCACGCTGCCCGGCCACGTCCAGGCCGTGTACGTGCACAATTCCGCCAAGTTGTTCGCCTGGCTGCTGGGGTCGCTGTCGGGTCGCGACCCCGACGACCCCAACGACAACGCCGGCAGCGGCCTCGGCGACCTCGTCAGCCTCATGGCCGACCGCCTGCCGCCGTTTGTGAACAACGGCGACCTGGAGGTGCAGGAGAGGGTGAGTCGTCACCGCTTGCGAGCGCCTGTCCAGCGCTCGGCCCTGCTTAGCTTCTGAGATCCGACGAGATTTTAGAGGGGGGCAGGGTGTGTGGCATTGGTGCGGTGTGCGTGTCGCTCGTGAAGTGGCTTGTGGATTGTGTACGTATAACATGTACGTTTATTATGTTTTATTTTTATTATTTTATTATTTCCCTTCTCCGTGACTTTACCAAAAGAACCAAGACGATATGTACGTGTGTTGAACTTCTTTCGCGCCGTACTTAGCCCCGCCCCCCCCCCTCTCGATACGTTCCATTCATTGGCTACCACATTCTGATAAGCTCCCCCCCCCTCCTCCCCCTTAACTTGTATGTAAGAGCTTGCATCTTGGAATCCCTGCCTCACTTGATGCAGCAAATCTGGCTGTGACGGTCCCACCTGATGATGACGGAGACTCGCGTTGCCTCCGAAACGTCGTGATTTTATTATTTTATTTTTCGATTTAAAGCTTTCGTGACTGCAGGGATTCATCTTCTTGGTTCTTTCGGTAAAGTCACGTAGAAGGGAGGTAATAAAATAATAAAAAGTAAACATAATCAAATAATTCTCACGACGTTTCGGCCACAACGCAAGCAGCCATCCTCAAGTGAAGACCAGGTCTGTTCAGATGCTGTCTCCCCGACAGACCTGGTCTCCACCTGAGGACGGCTGCTTGCGTTGTGGCCGAAACGTCGTGAGAATTATTTTATTATGTTTTATTTTTATTATTTTATTACTTCCCTTCTACGTGACTTTACCCGAAAGAACCAAGAAGCCTGCTGTATATTCGGAGTTTGCGTGTGTCTCTTTCTCTCCCCTGTGGTCGTGTTATTTCATTTTTTACCTACATGGTGACTTTACCGAAAGAACGAAGAGTATGAATCCTTGCAGTCACGAAAGCGTCAAATCTAGAATTAGCCAACCGTGCTAATCGGCCGTGCGGCATGCGGCGTGCGTTCCGCGCGGCGCCGCGTGCAGGCGTCGGGCGTGCTGCAGCTGGTGCGCTACGTGCAGAAGCTGCACGTCAAGGACGTGGCCGTGGTGGCGGAGGTGGCCTCGCTCTTCTCCGGGGAACTCAACCCCGTGGCGCCCAAGGCCCAGAAGAAAGTACCCATCCCGGATGGGTGAGACCGCAGCGCTGACACCAACCACACCGATGACACTTGCGCGCCACCCGCTGCACTAGCGCCGTGGTGGAATCAAAACGGAAGGGCCCAGGACCGGTTAAAATATAGTAGTGTAGTGTATAGTGTAGTGTGTAGTAGTGTATAGTAGTGTAGTGTGTAGTGTATAGTAGTGTAGTGTATAGTGTAATGTAGTGTAGTGTAGAGTGTAGTGTATTGTGTAATGTATAGTAGTGTAGAGTGTAGTGTATTGTATAGTGCATAGTAATGTAGTGTATTGTATAGTGTAGTGTATAGTAGTGTAGTGTAGTGCATAGTGTAGTGCATAGTGTAGTGTATAGTGTAGTTTATATTGTAGTGTATAGTGTTGAAGTAGACGACAGATATGCCGTGGCACGAGGTTATATCGGCCTCGGCAGTAGGGGGGGGGGAGAGAAGTGGGGGGGAGGAGGCGGGGCAGGAAGTGGACCACCGCAGCAGCACTGGAGAGGTCGCCCACTTAGTGTCAAACAGCGGTTGTTGTTGTTGTCGTTGTCCAGGCTGGACCTGGACAGCTGGATTAACGAGCCCTCGTCGGGAAGCGAGGAGGAGGAAGAGGAGGACGGGGAGAACGAGGGCAAGCGGAAACGAGGCATCGTGGAGGAGCACAGCGATCCGAGTCAACGCCGGCAGCCGGAGCCCAGCAAGGACGAGATGAACAAGGCAACTTGCACACTCAGAACAAAGATCTCCCCTCCATGTGTAATGTTCTTGGAGGGAGACGGAGTCTTCGTCGAGGCAACACGCTTTATTTCACCAAACAGTTTACACTAATCCCTAACGCAAAGGGGTAATGGCCCCTTTCACCCACAACCTGGGGAGGTACAGCCTCCAGGCTATCGTACCTACGACTCTCCCTACTCCAGCCCTCTGGCTGGCTAAACCTAGGGGAGACTGACCCACCGCTGGTCCGGTGGGTCCCTGACCACTGGCCCGTCCGGACCCAGCCCTCACAAGAGCATCAGGCCGAGGGAACCTCAGGGTTCTAACCCCACGACCACTGCCACCGCACTGAGCCCCGGCCCTCGTGACCACGTGTTTTTGTGCCCCCCCCCCCCCCACCACCTTCAGATGCGGGAGCAGCGCAAGCGGGATCAGGAGAGCAATCCCTACTACATCAAGAGCTCCCCCTCCCACCAAAAGGTTCGTAACCGCCCCCCCCCCCCCCCCCCCCAGTTGTGTACTAGATTGCTAGTGAGCCGCTTACTACATCCAGAGTACGCGGACCGGACACATCACGTGCGATGTCTTCACATTACGGTTGTGTGCACACATTTGGCCATCACGTGGTGCTGATGTTTGTACTTTGTGTATGTGGGCGGAGTGGTAGCGTAATGGTTAGCGCTATGCTGCGCCCGACGACCCGAGTTCGATTCACGCTCACGGCCAACACCGGTGACGATTATCTGAACCGGTCCTGGGCCTCCCCTAGGTCGACTCGGCATCAAATGAGTACCTGGTGCGGTGTGTAGTAAACATCGCCACTTTGTGGAGACAGACGGCCGGGCGTGGTGCTGGCCACCCACCCCCCTTCGTGCGCCGTGCCGGCCTTCACAGTTGCTCGCAAACAGCACTTGCCCCAACAGAGGCTACACGGGGAATTCTTGCCTTTGTCCTTTTGTCCTCTAGAACTCCTCGCCAGGAGTGAATCACATCCCCGTCGTGGAGATTGACCTCGACGTGCCGCTGAAAATGCCAGGTAGGCGTGCCCCCCCCTCCCCGCCTTCGCCAACATGCAGCCCTCGGGTCCTGCACGTGGGGTTGTCCCTCCCCCGTGCCAGCGTGCATGTGCACTCTCCCTCCGTTATATTGATCCGTGACAGCCCCTCTGCGTATGATGGCCTCATCCCGAGTCTCGCCGAACGGCAGTTGAAGCAGGTGGGATCAGTCGTGACGGGAGGGGGGAGGAGCCATAGTTTAGATAAGCTCCTACCCCCTCCCCTGAACCAGTATATAAGATCTCGTCTCTTGGATTTCTCTTCACTTGATACAGTCAATTTGGCTGTGACGGTCCCACCTGCAGACGGAGACTTGCGTTGCCTCCGAAACGTCGCGATTTAATTTTGTTTATTTTCATTTTACTTCATTATTATTTTACCTACGTGACTATACCGAAACAACCTCAGAGTGTGCTGGAGAACAATGTACGCGCTACGGCTTGTTAATGCTTTTTTTTTTTTGCCAGACATCCCGTAGAGTAGTGAATTGCAATAACTGTCGACTTCAAGAGGGGGGGGACGACATGCGGTTTGCGTCTCGCCAATCGGCCCGCACAGGCTTGCACGCGTCGTCGGAGCAGCTGGCGCGGCAGGAGGAGGAGCGGCGACGGAAGCAGCGCACCGCGGCGGGCGGGGGGGAGGCGCGTCGCAAGGGCGACAAGGACGGGCGGCGGCGCAGGCGGCGGCACCGCACGGCCGACAGCGAGGAGGACATCGCGCCCGCGCAGACGGTCGACATCGTCACCGAGGAGATGCCCGAGGTGCTGGGCGCGCGCGTGTGTGTGTGTGCGTGTGCAAGCTACCCCGGTCTTTGTGGGTTAGTGCCAGGCTGTGATCAGTGAGGCCCCTTTCACTTAACCAGGAGATGAAATAAACGCACGGAGACACGAAAAACAATTTCTCGTCTGCAAAGGAGGCCTGGTGTGTGCGCGCGGATAAAATGCAGCGAGGTGGCACAGTGAGGATTACAGGTAGGGGGGCATCTGTCCATCATCTCAGTTGGTCAACCCACAGCATCTGGGTCTGTCCCGTGACCTCCTGTCGTTACTGCATCGCGCGCTTTAAGATGCGCTTCTGTGGCCGTCGGGGAACGTTTATTAGAAAGCCATTGGAGCTTTCGATATAAAGCTTTCGTGACTGCAGGGATTCATCTTCTTGGTTCTTTTCGGTAAAGTCACGTAGAAGGGAAATAATAAAAGACGTTTCGGCCACAACGCAAGCAGCCGTCCTCAGGTGAAGAACAGGTCTGTCGAAAAGACAGCGTCATTCAAACGCTGTCATTCAGACGCCGTCTTTCCGACAGACCTGTTCTTCACCTGAGGACGGCTGCTTGCGTTGTGGCCGAAGCGTCTTTTATTATTTCCCTTCTACGTGACTTTACCGAAAAGAACCAAGAAGATGAACCATTGGAGCTATGCATTTTTTTAATCTATGTTAACATTTTTTTTTCGAACTGCTTTTCGTGTTTAGTTTCTTGTCCGTCCCCCCTCACCTCCACTTAGTACGTTTGGCTACGTGCGGTGCGAAAGAAGTTCAACAAACATATACGATGCAGAAGCATCTTCTCACCTGACAAATGGGGTCTCCGTCGCCGCTCTGATATTGCGTGTTGTTATACGTGCTTCACGTGACCTTAAAGTTCACCGAATCTAGCACAAGAGCCACGGTGACGTCACCGCCACCTCGTGGGGAAAGACGGCCGTGGTTGTTGTTGGGGATGTGTGCCTGTGTGTGTGGATGGGTCGTTTGTGCATGCGCGCGTGTCTCTTGCCGGGTGTGTGATTGGAGCGGCAGGGAAGCGGTTAGCGTGCTGCGCTAGGAACCCGGCGACCCGTGGTCGATTCGTGCTCACAGCCAATTAACGGTGTGCGTCTGTGGGGAGCGACAGTGTAGCAGTTAGCGCTACGCTGCGCTACGAACCCGGCGACCCGAGTTCGATTCACGCTCACGGCCAACACCAGTGACGATTATCTGTTCTGGGCCTCCCCTAGGTCGACTCGGCCTCAAATGAGTACCTGGTACGGTGTGTAAACATTTACAAAAGGAAGACAAAGGCGACCGGGCGTGGTGTTGGCCACCCACTTCATCATGCGCCATGCCGGCCTTCATATTTGCTTCTAGATTTGAAGCTTTCGTGACTGCAAGGATGCACACTCTTGGGTTTTTTCGGTAAAGTCACGTAGGTCTATTTTACCGAGTTGTTGACATCCACCGCGTTTAACAGCGCTGCTGTTGTTTGGTTTTGGAAGCCAACATCGGCCATAATCCCTATGGAAGTGCTTCACTTGAACCTTCCCTTCGAGCCCCCCCTCCACCCTCCCAGTCCCTGACTGCCAAATTTAGATTAGCTCCTCCTCCCTCATTTAGATTAGCTCTTCCCCCCTCATTTAGATTAGCTCCTCCCCCCTCATTTAGATTAGCTCCTCCCCCCTCATTTAGATTAGCTCCTCCTCCCTCATTTAGATTAGCTCTTCCCCCCTCATTTAGATTAGCTCCTCCCCCCTCATTTAGATTAGCTCCTCCCCCCTCATTTAGATTAGCTCCTCCCCCCTCCCCTGAACCAGTATATAAGATCTTGTCTCTTGGATTTCTCTTCACTTGATACAGTAAATTTAGCTGTGACTGTCCCACCTGAAGACGGAGACTTATGTTGCCTCCGAAACGTCGTGATTTAATTTAGTTATTTTTCATTTATTATTATTTTATTTCATATTTGCTTTCTAATAGCACTTGCCCAACAATCCTTTAAAGGCTACACGGGGGATCTTTGTGTAATTGGAGGCCTGTTTACTGTGCACATGGGGGGGTGTGCTTGTGAGAGGAGATGTGTGTTTATCTGTTTTTGGATGTGCACGTGTGAATGAACATTTGCAAGAGAGTGTGTGTGTGTGAGCGGTGGCACATTCATTAGTGCACTGCGCTATGAACCCATTCCATTGCTACTTTTGCCCCTCCTGGACAGCTGTTGAAAAAGAGCTTAATGGCTCATCGGATTTCTCCACGATAAATAGAGATTCCAATTGCAATGTCCGATTCACTCGCAACCAAACATCGGTGACGAATATCTGAACCGGCCCTGGGCTTCCCCTAGGTCGACTCAGCCTTAAACGAGTACCTAGCGCAAGTGTGTAAGCATGAGTCCTGGAGAGACACGCCGGCCTTCATAGGCGCTCACTCACGAACGGCACTTGCCCCTCTGCAGTCTGTTAAAGGCTATAGGAAGGTGGGGGATGCTTTGTCTTTGTGTACGCGCCCTTTGGAGTTTCTCCATCCCCCCCCTCCTACCCGAACCTGGCCTCGCCGTCCCCCATGAGCCATCTCATCTTTAAGAGCCAGCGCCTGATGCGGTGAGCAAACATTCAGCAGCAGCGGCGGCGGTGACTCATGCCGCTGACCCGCTGCACATCCCCATGCCGCCGCTGTTGCCGTTGTTGTTGTTTTTATTAAATTGCTGCTCACTGGCGCAGTGCCGGTCTCCCCCGGGAGACGTCCCCCGGCTAAGCTCTGCGATGTTCGTGTTGACCCAGGACGCCCTCCCCAGTGACGATGAAGATAAAAGGTTCGACCCCAAAGACCCCTACAGAGCTCTGGACATGGATTTGGACAAGTGAGTATGTTTTTGCGTCATCTTGAACTCAAACTAAATTTCGATTTAAAGCTTCTTTCGTGACTGCAGGGATTCATCTTCTTGGTTCTTTCGGTAAAGTCACGTAGAAGGGAAATAATAAAATAATGAAAATGAAACATAATAAAATACAATTCTCACGACGTTTCAGACACAACGCAAGCAGCCGTCCTCGGGTGAAGAACAGGGCTGTCGGAAAGACAGCGTCCGAATGAACACCACCAAGCTTGGCAGCGTATATTTAAGCTGGGTTAGAGGAGGAAGGGTGCCTTGACAAAGGAATTTGCATATCACCTGAGGACGGCTGCTTGCGTTGTGGCCGAAACGTCGTGAGAATTGTATTTTATTATGTTTTATTTTTATTATTGTACTATTTCCCTTCTACATGGCTTTACGGAAAGAACCAAGAAGATCAAACTAAGCTGTTAACTATTTTTATTTTAGCAGGTAAGGCCTGCTGAGCTTGTAGAGCTCTTTTCTCGCAAGCGACCCTGGCCACAAGTGATAGCACAACGAAGTGGGTTATCATCATGTGGACATTTATAGCAGGAGCCAAACACGCTCGTTGATTCTAAACGTGGAGGGGAAAACCGGAGGACCCGGAAAAAAAGTAATCCACGCGACCTCAGGGGAGAGAAAGAGACACACGCAAACTCCAAATATACAGCAGGCTTCTTGGTTCTTTCGGTAAAGTCACGTAGAAGGGAGGTAATAAAATGATAAAAATAAAACATAATAAAATAATTCTCACGACGTTTCGGCCACAACACAAGCAGCCGTCCTCAGGTGAAGACCAGGTCTGTCGGGGAGACAGCGTCTGAACAGACCTGGTCTTCACCTGAGGACGGCTGCTTGCGTTGTGGCCGAAACGCCGTGAGAATTATTTTATGTTTTATTTTTATTATTTTATTACCTCCCTTCTACGTGACTTTACCGAAAGAACCAAGAAGATGAATCCCTGCAGTCACGAAAGCTTTAAATCGAAATTTATACAGCAGGCGTCGGGGATTGAACCCACGACCTCCTATATGCCGCTACTTGCTCACAAGCTGTCCCGGGGGTGGGGGGAGGGATGGGATCTTTGTCTTTGACGATGGCGGTGATGGTGATGATGGTGGTGACGGTGAGCGACGATGCCTCTGCTCGCTTGCCAGGCCGCTGACCGACGGCGACAAGCTGCCGGTGAAGACTCACCGCATCGTCTCGCCGGACAGCGAGAGCCCCGTGCAGCCGGGCAAGATGAGCGGCAAAGAGCAGGGCAAGGAGAAGAGGAAGAGCAAAGAGAAGGACAAGGGCAAAGACAAGGAGAAGGACAGGAAGAAGGGCAAGAAGGACAAGGTTTGACCCTCTCTTCTACCACCGACGTTTGACGCCTTCATCCTGTCTTGCGCTCGCTGATGCTCGTGCTAAACCCGACTCCAGCCGAAACCGTGAACTTGACTCCAACCAGAAACCCTAAACCTGATCCCATGCCAGAACTCTAAACCTGACCCCACCTAAAACCCTAAACCAGACTCCAGCGAGGACCGTAGACCTGACTCTAACCCTAAACCCTAAACCTGACTCCAGCCGAAACCGTGAACCTGACTCCAACCAGAAACCCTAAACCTGATCCCACGCAGAAATCTTAACCTGACCCCACCCAAACCCTAAACCCAACTCCAACCAGAACCATAAACCTGATTCCGACCCAGAACCCTAAACCTGATCCCACGCAGAACTCTACACCTGACCCCACCCAAAACCCTAAACCTGACTCCAACCAGAACCATAAACCTGATTCCGACCCTGAACCCGACTCCAACCAGAAACCCTAAACCTGACCCCCCAGCCTTAGAAACAAACCCGATAGACTTGAGCAGTCTTTACTCTTTGGTTCTTTCGGTAAAGTCACGTAGAAAGAGAAAATAATAAATTAAATACTAGCATACGACGTTTCGATTGCAACACAAGCAATCGTCATCAGGTATAAATGAAATAGAAACACAAATCTAGTATACTTAGAAATGTAATGTAATACAACAGAGAGAGTCGGATAACATAACAGTCAACACCCTACCTGGTTGATTACGTTCTTCCTGAGAATGCTAAATTTGAGAGAGAGAGATAAAACACAGAACCAGAGACATATAGACAGACATATAAGCAGACACATATCGCAGAGATACATAGAGAGAGAGACATACATAGGCACACAGAGAAACTAGGCCTCTGTGTCGAGGCCTTAAATAGTCTTTACTCCTGTGTCACCTACTCGCGTTCGATTGTCATAACCAGCGACCCTTGCATCGTTACCGCTATCGTTGCGCCGTCGTCACCATTGCCGCGGGGTCTGTGCGGGGTCTGTGACAGAAAGAGCGGAAGAGGCACGGCTCGCACGGGGACAAGAAGGCGGTGGCCGCCACGTCACATGACCCGGAGCCTAGGGGGGCGGCCGGCGATGGAGAGGGCGGCACCAGCACGCCCGCCAATGCAGACGTACGACCTTCACCCCCTTGATCTTTGACCTCTGGGTCCCTGTACATTTTCCAGGACTTCCGAATCTCTCGCGTCCCGGTGATGTGTGGTTGTTGGCGTTGGTGCTGTTTCGTTGTCAACCGTGGCTTGAGGGGCAAGAGATTTCCATTTGGAACTCTCGCCACCTGTTGGAGAATATGCATCTTGCGGTAAGATGGTTTCACAGAGCTCGTTCGGAGCTCGCTTCAATTACATCTTGTCTGCACGAGGTGGAGGTGCAACCTCCGCCGTACAAGCCTGCTCCTGTGTAGCCATTTGTCACGAGGCAAATAAACGAATTCAAGAAAATGCTGAATCAATTCGAGAAACCGCATTGTACGCGATGTTTCTTTTTAAATCCTTTTTATGAAGTTCGCTCGCTTGCTTGCTTGCGCGCTTACGACCGTGTACATCTTTTGGTCGTTTTTTAACCCACTTCCCGTGATCCAATCGAGCTGACATTTTGCACACAGACTCGTTGTGCGTGACAATTTATTTCCGTGAAAATTTTTTTCCATAACTTTACACTTTTTAGGAAAAAAAAATAATTATATTTAATTACCAATTGCTTAATGGTGGCAGGCAATCATCTGACCCATAGGTGGCAGCCATCTCAAGCCAGAGGACGAGAGGACTCTAGCTGCCACGCATATAAAGGATTTATAGTGAAAAACTTTGTTTTTACGGGTTAATTTTTCTTTTTTTTTGCTCGCCTCGTTTCATCATTGGGCCGAGCGCATCGCTTGAGAACCTAACTCGGCTTAACCGCGGGCGTCTGAAACCCGGATTCCACGAGGTGCGTGTCCGGCCCGGTGATCCTGACGCAATTTTTAAAATAATCCTGAACCACCCTGCACCCCCCCCTCACCAACCTCTGTAGGGTGTCCAACTGTTGTTGCTGTTAGAGCAGTTTCTACAGAGGCTCTCCTTATAATATTTTTTTTGTTTAAGCCGTAAGAGGCTCAATGAATGATAGATGTGGAGATTCCATTTGCCAGGAATTTGCTAGAAATCGAGCCAAGGTTACTGTGATTTTAGCTTAGTGTAGCATCGTGGCAGATGTGACATTGCAGCATAGTGAGTTGAGTGTTTAATGTGCCGCACACAAAAGGAAATTGAAATTCCTGTTTTGAGTCTTGGTAAGGAAGCGGTTCCCCACCCCCTAATATCGACCATACACACACACACACAGCGCGCACACACACACAGCGCACACACAGCACACAGCACACACACACAGCGACAGCACACACACACACAGCGCACACACACACACAGCACACACACACAGCACACACACACAGCGCGCACACACACACACAGCGACAGCACACACACACACAGCGCACACACACACACAGCACACACACACAGCGCACACACACAGCGCGCGCGCACACACAGCGCGCACACACAGCACGCACACACACACAGCACACACACACACAGCGACAGCACACACACACACACACAGCACACACACACACAGCACACACACACAGCACACACACACAGCGCGCACACACACACACAGCGACAGCACACACACACAGCGACAGCACACACACACAGCGTGCACACACACACAGCGTGCACACACACAGTGCCCACGCACAGTGCACACAGCACACCACAAAAAATAAAGACAAAGATCTCCCATATAGGCTTAACAGACTGTTGGGACAAGTGCTGTTAGTGATGTTCACACACTGCGGCATGTACTCATTTGAGGCTGAATCGACCTAGGGGAGGCCCAAGACCGATTTAGATAATCGTCACTGGTGTTGGCCATGAGCAGGAATCGAACTCGGGTCGCCGGGTTTGTAGGGCAGCACGCTAAGCGCTACATTACTGGTCCCCACACACGCACACACGCATCACGCACACGCAGCACACATACACAGCACACACACCACATGCATAGCACACACCTCACACGCACACAGCACAAACGCATCATACGCACCACACACAGCACACACATGCACAGACCTCACATAAAATTTCGATTTAAAGCTTTCGTGACTGCAGGGATTCGTCTTCTTGGTTCTTTCGGTAAAGTCACGTAGAAGGGAAATAATAAAATAATAAAAATTAAACATTATAAAATAATTTTCACGACGTTTCGGCTGCTTGTGTTGTGGCCAAAACGTCGTGAGAATTATTTTATTATGTTTTATTTTTATTACTTTATTATTTCCCTTCTACGTGACTTTACTGAAAGAACCAAGAAAAGACCTCACATTGCTTTACCTTTGTGTGTGTGTGTGTATTGGTGGTCTCTGCTCTCCACAGCTGAACGATTTGGATTTCTGGCTGTCCGACGCAGTGTCTCCCTCCAAAGCCAAGGTAGTTCACCTGGCTGTACGTGCATGTCACTGTGCTTAAGGTTGCGTGTGCCTGTAATGAAGAATACATGTCCCTGTAGTTAATGTTACATGTGGCTGTAGTTAAGAATGCACGTGCCTCTAGTTTACACTTTCCCATTTCAAGACGACTCTGGGGGTCCCGTTCAACCGCTGAATCTCCGATTAGCAGGGCTGGCTACGTACGGTGCGAAAGAAGTTCATCGTACGTTACTTGTTGCGCAACTTCTTGGTCGTCTTGTGTTGTTGTGTCTTGCAGTACGAGTTCATCGAGAGCACAGCGCCTTCAGCAGCACACGAGCCGGAAGTGGCGGACAACGTAGGGTCCCTCTCACTCCACCTGTCCCTCTAGCGAACTCTCTCACTAGCTCTCTCTCTCTCTCTCACTAGCTCTCTCTCTCTCGCTCTGCTTATCTCTCGCTCTGCACCTGCCTCTCTCGCTCTGCACCTGTCTCCATCCTCTCTCATTTGCATCATGGGAATGTTGATCACTTGAACGTGCAGAACTCTATACGGAGTTAACGGTGAACTTTGAATGGCTTCAATCCGCACTCTGTTGAAAGGGAGTGGAGTTGACCTGACCGTAGACGCCTGCGGATGGGAATGGTTGTCGCTTTAATATCTCGATCTCCGATGACCCTGATTGGGAATTGGCGTAAGAGCCGTCCACTCGGCTCTCTCTTCTCAACGCTCTTGGCCAACGGCGGCTTCTCCGGTTTCGTTTTGCAGAGCGAGAAGAGGCACGAGAAGGACGAAGAAGAGGTCGCGACCCCCGGGGAGAGCCGGGAGAGTTGTCAAGAGGAGGAGGAGGAACCATCGCAGAAAAGCCGCAAGGGCCGCAAGGAGGAGGGTTCGTCATCGCAGAAGAGTCGGAAGAGCTCCGAAAGTCACGAGGAGGAGGGGGACGCGTCCCGGAAAAGCCGGAAGAGCAGGGACGGGCACAGCAAGCCGTCCCGGAAGAGCAGGGAAGAAGACGGAAAATCGTCTCGGAAGAGCCGGAAGAGCCGGGAGGAGGATGGCGATTCGTCCCAGAAGAGCGGCAAGAGCCGGGAAGCTGATGGCGAGTCGTCCCGAAAGAGCGGCAAGAGCCGGGAAGCTGATGGCGAGTCGTCCCGGAAGAGCCGGAAGAGCCGGGAGGAGGATGGCGAGTCGTCCCGGAAGAGCCGGAAGAGCCGGGAAGAGAAGGCCGCGTCGCCTGGAAAGGCCGCCCCCCTGCAGAACGGCGATGAGCTGCCCGTTCTGCTGCCCGTAAGCCTCGCGTCGCGCGGGGATCCCACGGCGAAGGGGGTGCACGCGGGGGTCGACCTCGCGCCACGGGGCTTGTTATTAATGAAGGAAGTTTCCGGAATTCTGGGAAGCTCAACCGGGACACGCGGGGTTAGCTGGCAGTCCCCTCCCTAGATTTGAAGTTTTCGTGACTGCAAGGATCAATACGTTTTGTTTTTTTCGGTGAAGTCGCGTAGGTGAAAAAATCTATTAAAATGAAAACAAATCAATTAAATCATGACGTTTCGGAGGCAACCACAAGCTTCCGTCTTCAGGTGGAACCCTCACAACAAAATCACTTGATACAGTAATTACTCTTCACTTGATACAGTAATTACTCTTCACTTGATACAGTAATTACTCTTCACTTGATACAGTCATTTTGCTGTGACACTACCACCTGAAGGCGGAAGCTTGTGTTGCCTCCGAAACGTCGTGATTTAATTTATTTGTTTTCATTTTAATTGATTTTTTTACCTACGTGACTTTACCGAAAAAACACAAAGACTATGGATCCCCTCCCTCCCACAGCCCGGCACCACTTGTACGTCTTAATGCCGCCGTCACGGTCTCAGCGTCGGTGAAAAACTCACCGGCCTGGTGAAGCCCGTCTCGCCCGGCACTGGGAAGCGCGCGTCGTCAAGTTGGGCGGTTTCCACGATTGTGGGCGCACATGCCTGGCACGTGTAACACCTTCGCTGGTCTCGTCAGGGAGCATAGAGCGTCACGCGAACTCCGGTCATCCTCGCAGCAGCGGATTTTGGCTTAACCGTCGAACAAAGACGGCCACCGCATCATTGCGCGCTTTCCTTCCGGAATGCTCTTTATTCCGATATTAGTGTGTAATGTGAGGATATTTCAGGCTCAATGACGTATCACAACTTGTCATGATGATCGGCTCTGCCAGTCCTGGGTTATAGCCAATGGGGGGAAGCCTAGGGGCGTGGCCCTGACGTCATGGAAAGGTGACAGCTGTAAGTAGGGGATTGGTTCTGCTGGCTTTGGCCACAGCCAATGGGGAGACGAGTCAGGGGCGTGGTCCCGGCAGCTTACGAGGAGGCCTAGAATATTCCATGGAGGCTAGCCAGGATTGGGGGAAACGTACCACGTGACCCGGGTATTAAATAGGGGTGGAGACGAACGACACGTGGTCAGAACGGGAACGAACAGAGGAAAGGGGCCACGCGGGAGCGGGGCTCCGGGTTGCCACGTGGCAGTGCGTCTCTCCCGCTATCTGTTCCTCTCAAGCTGCCTGTCAGCAGCGGGAAGGAAAAGCTGTATGCAAGTTGAATAAAAGACGGATTCCAGGAGTCGTCTCAACGAGCTTTATTACATCAGGAAGCCATCAGAGTTGTGCACTTTGAAATCATCTCGATTGAAATCCGATTTCTTCAGAACGAATTTTCGTGTTTAGTTTGTTGTCCTTCCCCCGCACCCCCGATTAGCGCGGTTGGCTACGTACGGTGCGAAAGAAGTTCAACAAACACGCGGTGCAGAAGCATTTTCTTACCCGACAAATGGAGTCTCCACCGCTGCCCTGATATTCCGTGTGTTTCTTTGGTCTGTCGCTTTATTTCCCCAGCCGATGTCCAGGTACAAGCTCCTGGCCGAGAACTCCCACCTCAAGTTGGTAAGTTCCGACTTCTGATCCCCCACAACTCGGGGTTAGGGTTGTGGCACATCACAGCGAGAGAGAGAGAGACACTTGAACATCTTCGTGAATCATTACCGGGTCTTGATGAACCTCTTGAGTACTATGGGAACCTCATTTGCCAGTAAAAATATGATAATTGTTTTTTTACCCTTCTATCTGGCAAAAAAACTGACACCTTTTTACAAGGAGTCATGTTTGTATAGACCGCAATACCTGCAGTCATAATGCAAACAAAAGACATAACTCTGATAATGTGCACTGTCCTTGAAGTTGATTGGTCCACACCCGAGACAGCTTTCCTTAGAGCCTAGTCTCACATGGGTTGGACCAGATGACGCCAAAAGGCGCACTTCAAGGACAGTGCACATTATCAGAGTTATGTCTTTTGTTTGTATTATGACTGCAGGTATTGCGGTCTATACAAACATGACTCCTTGTAAAAAGGTGTCAGTTTTTTTTGCCAGATAGAAGGGTAAAAAAACAATTATCGAACCTTTTGAGGTTCACTACCTCCTCGGGATGGGAGGAGAATCAATCGATCCGAGTTTGATTTCCGACCACGGCTAAAATCAGTGGCGAGCGCTGCGTCTGCACCGATCTCCGGGCCCACCACCCTCCTCCAGACCCCGCCTTCACCAACCTGCACTGCACTCACCAGCGTGGTGAAGTATGGTCAAAAAAACGATGCCGGTAGAAGTGGGGGGGGGGGGGGGGGGGCCATGGTGGCTAGGAGATGTTAACTACCTCGCCTGGTATACAGGAGGTCGTGGGTTCGATCCCGACCCTGACGATGCCTGCTGCTGTATATTTGGAGTTTGCGGTGTCTCTCTCTCATCATCATCACGGTGGCTAGGAGATGTTAACTACCTCGCCTGGTATACAGGAGGTCGTGGGTTCGATCCTGGCCTTGACGACGCCTGCTGCTGTATATTTGGAGTATGCGTGTCTCTCTCTCTCATCATCATCACGGTGGCTAGGAGATGTTAACTACCTCGCCTGCTGTGCAGGAGGTCGTGGGTTCGATCCCGACCTTGACGACGCCTGCTGCCGCTGTATATTTGGAGTTTGCGGTGTCTCTCTCTCATCATCATCATCACGGTGGCTAGGAGATGTTGACTACCTCGCCTGGTATACAGGAGGTCGTGGGTTCGATCCCGACCCTGACGATGCCTGCTGCCGCTGTATATTCGGAGTGTGCGTGCTTCTGTCCCTGTGGTCGCGTGAATTTTTCTCCGAGTCTAGAGTGTTTATTTGACTGCTACAAAATGACGCGTGTTAAACCACTTCTTTGAGCTATCAATTGTGACTAGGTCGCTTCTGAAAATTTTTTACCTGCTAAAATAAAAATTGGTATATTGTGGTTCACACCATGCGGACAGGTCAAACTGTCGGTCTGTCAGCCCGAGTCCTCATCACGGGTGCAGGAATCGATGTGCGCGGCTTTTGTGTTTGCCTTGGTGCGTGTGGGGAGCGGCGGTGTGCAGCGGTTAGCGCGCTGCCCTGCAAACTCGGCTACCCGAGTTCCATTCCCGCTCACGGCCACCAATTGCCAGTGACGATTACCTGAACCGGTCCCGGCCTTAAATTAGTAGCTGCTTCTTTAAACCCTGGTGCCATAGTGTCCGTGAACGAGGTCTGTGGAGTTTCTGTACCCCACCCCCACCCCATCCCACGTCGCGGTTTGCGCTTTGTACCGGGCTCCTATTGAAAGTAAAAAGGGTAGGGGGCGGGAGATCTTTGTCTCGTCTCTGCACGTCGCCACTCATCAGAGGTCGCAAACGGGTTTTGATTCCTTACCCGTACCCGGCTACCCGTACCCAGCCGGGTATCGGGTAGGGTACGGGTACCCGATTGCGACCTCTGGGATGAAGCCATGTTGCAGGCGCGGGTGGGTTGATTCTAGGAACTTGAATTGTGAGAAGAGACAAGACGTTGGGAAATGAGTGACAAACAGTTACTCACCAGTGACTCACGGCCTACCCGTACCCAGCCGCACCAGGGTCGCAAACGGGTAGCCCGTACCCGGCCGGGTGCGGGTAGCCGGGTATCGGGTAGTGTACGGGTATCTGGTACCCGGTTGCGACCTCTGCCACTCATCCTCGCGTCCCCCCCACCGCTCACCGCTCGCGCGTAGACGTACGACGTCCAGGGCGACGCGGGCAGCGGTGGCAGCAAGGTGGTCGTGTCGCTGATTGTGGCCAACAAGGGCGAGGCTCAGCTCAAGTCCATGGAGCTCAACGTCCTCGACTCGCTCAACATGAGGCTGCTGAGGCCGCCCGGCGCCGCGGCGCACGATGGGATCGCGGTCCCCTTCCAGCTGCCCGCCGGTGAGCGCCGCTGCAACACCCCCCCCCAACACCCCCCCCCAACACCCCCCCCCCCACAGCCCCTCAACCCCCCAGCCCCCTCCACCTTAGCCCTCCGTGCCCCTCCAGCCGCCCGTCTCTCCTTCGGGCGTTGAACGAGCACGCGTACAGCGGGCCGAAGCCTAAATGTACGTGTTGAGTCTATGGGCAGTGTTCGTCCGTGGGGAGTGTGCACGTACGTTGAACTTCGTTCACTCCGTACGTAGCCAACCGCGCTAATCGGAGGCGTGGGAGGGACTACTTTGAGCAGCGTAGTGGTAACTATGCGGCGTCGTTTGTCGTTGTTGTCGCTCGCCCATGCATGCCTCCGCCGCTCGCCTCTCCACCACGTGTGTGTGTGCGTCAAACTTCTTTCGCACCGTACGTAGCCAAGCTAATGTGGAGGTGGATGTCGAAGTCCCGGTGTGGAACCTCCTTTGTCCCGCTCCAGCGGCCCACGTGGACTGACACTCGCTCGCACGCTCCCTCACGCACGGCCACGCACCCTCTCATGCACGCACGCACACACACACACAAACCGTTACACAATCACACGCTCTCACGCAATCGCACAAACCCTTGTCCGATCATACACACACACACAAACCCTCACACAATCACACGCTTTCACGCAATCACACAAACCCTTGTCCAATCACACACACACCCTCACACAATCACACGCTCTCACACAATCGCACAAACCCGTGTCCAATCATACACACACAAACCCTCACACAATCACACGCTCTCACACAATCACACAAACCCTTATACAATCACACACACACACACACAAACCCTCACACAATCACACAAACCCTTATACAATCACACACACACACACACAAACCCTCACACAATCACACAAACCCTTGTCCAATCATACACACTCACGCAAACCCTCGCACAATTACAAAGACAAAACATCCCCCGTGTAGCCTGAACAGGCTGTTGTTAGGGGCAAGTGCTGTTAGCGAGCAGCGCCTGTGATCGCCGTGTTGGCCTGGAGCGGGAATCGAACCCACGTCACCTGGTTCGTGGCGCAGCTGCTAACCGCTGCACAGACACACTCACAAACTCACAAACTCGCACACACGCTCACACGCTCTCTCACACGAACCCTTTCGCACGGGTGAGTACGCGTGAGACGGGGGGGACCGTTCACGCCTCGCAATGTTTCTCTGCGCTCCCGTAGGCGTCTCGAACGAGATGCACGTCGCATTCAACGTCCAGTCCATCGTGATGCCGCAGAAGCTCAAGGGCTCCCTCGCGTTCATGGTCAAGGTGAGGCCCCTCGCACGTACGATTGCGCACGCACACACGCACACGTGCACACACGCACACAACAACAACAACCGCCATTCGCCACTAAGTGGCGGTGACGTCACCACGACGCTTGTGCCAGGCCATGTGCACCTTGAGGCCACGTGAAGTGTCGAACGCCCGCTGGCAGGAGGTCACGGGGCAGACCCAGGTGCCACGGGTCAACTGACCGAGATGACCGAGATGACTGGCTGATGCACCACCTGTGCCCCCTACTGTACCAACTTGCTGTGCTTTAGCCACCCAGCGCTCCGCTCATTGTTGTGAGCGTCGCTCCTCCGCCCTCCGTTGTTGTTGGAGGGCGACTGCCTCCAACTGCCCAGTAGCGTCCTTCACGAGCCTCCTCCACAGAGGCCGATCTTGACACTGCTGGTACCAGTCATCGGCAAGTCCACTCAGCTCCACGTCCTCCTGTACCACATCACTCCATCTCTTCTCTAGCCCGTGCCGCGCCCGCACACACGCACACGCACACACGCAAACGGGCCACGCTACGAAACCGGCGACCCGGGTACGCCGGTCCTGGGCCTCTCCCCTAGGTCGACCCAGCTTCAAAATGCATATCTGGTGCGCTGTCTAAACGTCGCCACCAGGGAGACAAAGGCGGCCGGGCTTGGCGCTCAGCCGTCCACCCTCCCTCGTATGCAGTGCCGGCCTTCATAGGTGCTACTTGTGAACAGCACTTGCCCCAATAGTATGTTGAAGGCTATACGGGGGGAGGGGGCGGTCTTTGTCTTTGGATTTTTTTGTGCGCGCGTGCATGTGTAGTGGGCACCGTGACGACAGAGGCGGTTGACTAGAGGCGACACACGTATTTATTACCGCTTCACACTCAAAGCGGTATAACGGCCTCTTCACTCGCTACTCTCAAGGGAGATATTCCCGCTTCGACTCGCCTGCTCTCAAGGGACTTACCTGACCTGGCCCAGCCAAGGCACAGGTCTCGACCGACAGCCACACGAAGCCGGCTCTTACAAGGACATCGGCTCCGAGGCTCTGGGTCGCACCACTGGCTTGCTCTGCCCGGCCCTTAGAAGGACAGCGGGTCAGAGGAGTCCCAGGGTCTAGCTAGATGGACTTGGGCCTTCAGCTGGTTCTTCGTCTTGGGCTTGTCCAAACTGAACTCTGCTAATCCTACATAATGCACGGGCATAATATGACTTTGAGATCCCCACCCCCCACCTCCTACGCATTCCACAAGTAGCGACTAATCCCATATCTGGATTTTCCATAGATATGCTGAATTTCTCTGTTGATATGCAAATTCCTTTGTCAAGGCGCCCTTCCTCCCCTAACCCAGCTTAAATATACGCTGCCAAGCTTGGCGGTGTTCATTCGGACGCTGTCTTTCCGACAGCCCTGTTTCTTCACCCGAGGCCGGCTGCTTGCGTTGTGGCCGAAACGTCGTGAGAATTGTATTTTATAATTTTATTTTTATCCCTTCTACGTGACTTTACCGAAAGAACCAAAAAGATGAACTCTCTCTCAGGGTCTCGCCTTTTATACAATTCCCCACCGAGGTGGGGCGGGGTTTCTGTGTGCTCACACACATCCTCCAGCCCCCTTCCCCGGCTAGGGATATCACAACCGCCCCGCACAGGTGAGTAATGGCAGTTAACCGGAGCTGGTGTGCGTGCGTTTCAATACCACCACCACCACCGCACATGCAGACGGATGATGGCTCCTCGCACGAGAAACTGGACTTTACGCTACAGTTCACCTGCTCGTCCTACCTTCTCACCACCTCCTGCCACAGGTGAGGCGCCCGGCACATCGGTAGCAGTGACGCTGGCTACCGCCGAGAGTACAACGGAGACCGTCCTGCCTGTCTCTCTGTTGACTAGCGACCAGTCAGTCTGCCTGTGTCTCATCGGTAGCAGTGACGCTGGCTACTGCTTAGAGTACAACGGGGACCGGCCTGCCTGTCTCTCTGTTGCCTAGCGACCAGTCAGTCTGCCTGTCTCTCTGTTGCCTAGCGACCAGTCAGTCTGCCTGTGTCTCATCGGTAGCAGTGACGCTGGCTACTGCCGAGAGTACAACGGAGACCGTCCTGCCTGTCTCTCTGTTGCTTAGCGACCAGTCAGTCTGCCTGTGTCTCTGTTAGCCTGGAGACTACAGCAGAGACCACTCAGTCTGCCTGTCTCTCTGTTACCTAGCGACCAGTCAGTCTGCCTGTGTCTCATCGATAGCAGTGACGCTGGCTACTGCCGAGAGTACAACGGAGACCGTCCTGCCTGTCTCTCTGTTGCTTAGCGACCAGTCAGTCTGCCTGTGTCTCTGTTAGCCTGGAGACTACAGCAGAGACCACTCAGTCTGCCTGTCTCTCTGTTACCTAGCGACCAGTCAGTCTGCCTGTGTCTCTGTTAGCCTAGCGACCACTCAGTCTGCCTGTCTCTCTGTTGCCTAGCGACCAGTCAGTCTGCCTGTCTCTCTGTTGCCTAGCGACCAGTCAGTCTGCCTGTGTCTCATCGGTAGCAGTGACGCTGGCTACTGCCGAGAGTACAACGGAGACCGTCCTGCCTGTCTCTCTGTTGACTAGCGACCAGTCAGTCTGCCTGTGTCTCTGTTAGCCTGGAGACTACAGCAGAGACCACTCAGTCTGCCTGTCTCTCTGTTGCCTAGCGACCGGTCAGTCTGCCTGCCTCTCTCTGTTACCTAGCGACCACTCAATCTGCCTGTCTCTCTGTTGCCTAGCGACCAGTCAGTCTGCCTGTGTCTCTGTTACCTAGCGACCACTCAGTCTGCCTGTCTCTCTGTTGCCTAGCGACCAGTCAGTCTGCCTGCCTCTCTCTGTTACCTAGCGACCACTCAGTCTGCCTGTCTCTCTGTTGCCTAGCGACCAGTCAGTTTGCCTGTGTCTCTGTTGCCTAGCGACCAGTCAGTCTGCCTGTGTCTCTGTTGCCTAGAGACCAGTCAGTCTGCCCGTCTCTCTGTTGCCGAGTGACCACTCAGTCTGCCCGTCTCTCTGTTGTCTAGCGACCAGTCAGTCTGCCTGTCTCTCTGTTGCCTAGCGACCAGTCAGTCTGCCTGTCTCTCTGTTGCCTAGCGACCAGTCAGTCTGCCTGTCTCTCTGTTGCCTAGCGACCAGTCAGTCTGTCTGTCTCTCTGTTGCCTAGCGACCAGTCAGTCTGCCTGTCTCTCTGTTGCCTAGCGACCAGTCAGCCTGCCTGTGTCTCTGTTGCCTAGCGACCAGTCAGTCTGCCTGTCTCTCTGTTGCCTAGCGACCAGTCAGTCTGTCTGTCTCTCTGTTGCCTAGCGACCAGTCAGTCTGCCTGTCTCTCTGTTGCCTAGCGACCAGTCAGTCTGCCTGTCTCTCTGTTGCCTAGCGACCAGTCAGTCTGCCTGTCTCTCTGTTGCCTAGCGACCAGTCAGCCTGCCTGTGTCTCTGTTGCCTAGCGACCAGTCAGTCTGCCTGTCTCTCTGTTGCCTAGCGACCAGTCAGTCTGTCTGTCTCTCTGTTGCCTAGCGACCAGTCAGCCTGCCTGTGTCTCTGTTGCCTAGCGACCAGTCAGTCTGCCTGTCTCTCTGTTGCCTAGAGACCACTCAGTCTGCCTGTGTCTCTGTTGCCTAGCGACCAGTCAGTCTGCCTGTCTCTCTGTTGCCTAGAGACCACTCAGTCTGCCTGTGTCTCTGTTGCCTAGCGACCACTCAGTCTGCCTGTCTCTCTGTTGCCTAGCGACCACTCAGTCTGCCCGTCTCTCTTTTGCCTAGCGACCAGTCAGTCTGCCTGTCTCTCTGTTGCCAGCGACCAGTCAGTCTGCCTGTGTCTCTGTTAGCCCAGAGACTCCGGTAGAGATTGGTCTATCAGCCTTGTCGAAAGACTCCGGCAACAACCGTGTTTATCTTTCTATCGCCTAGAGCAGTGCCTCTCAACCAGGGGCATGCGGACCCCTGGGGGCAGTATCCCAGGAGGTACGCGAGGTGACTTGCGTGTGAAGTGACGTCGTACACTGAGAGTCATTCGGTGAATAGTCGCATACGGATCTGGCAATGTAAAATAACTACGATAACATTTAGTTCCATATGGAAACTTAGAGCGATGCCAAAACTCGTTGCCGGTTCACAATGTGGGTTTTCAAGAGCAGCCAACGAGCGCAAACAAAACACGTTCCTTCTTCGGAGTGGGCAGGTAGGAACTTGGTTGGACGGCGCATTCGTGCGATCCGTGTCACGCGGCGCAAGCTGCGTGGGGCGGCGCGTCACGTGGTGCTGAGCCCGCCCCGAAGCGCTCTATGAAATACAAATCGAGGGCGTGGCTATGCACGACAGACAGACAAATAATCCCTGGTGGGCAGTGTGGAACCTGTTGTTCCTTGCCTGTATTACGTCACGCGTGCAGAGCAGAGCGTCCGTTGAATTGTCATTTTTTTTTTTATTCGCTTGCAGTTTCTAGTTAGGCTTTCCCTCACAAAGTGGACAATCGGTTTCAAATATTGATCTTCATTATTCACACATTTGCTTGCGCAGGACCATGTTGGGTCAGGCAAGGGGGTTACTCGGTCGAAACAAAATTCAGCAAGGAGGGGGGGGTACAGAAGCCAAACAATTTATTTAAATCAACGGCTCTCGTTTACCCCCGCTAGAGACCCAAAGAGATCTTATCGGGGGACCGGGACCCATCCTCCAGTCTTGTCTAAATACCGTATTAGTCCTGGATTTGGCAGTCTTACTGCCCGGAGACCCCGTCCCGACGGAGGTCGTCACCACGTTACGTTTGGCGGTCCGTGCCGTGTGCCCCGTGGCGGTGCAGCGAGGCGTTTGCGGAGCTGCTGGGCGGCGGGGAGCTCAAGTCGGCGTCGGTGCGCGCCGGCAGCGTCGCACAGCCCTTCGCAGTGCTGCTCGCCCGCGTCTGCCTCCTGCACCGATTCTCCGGTTCGTGGCTCTCGCCCCCCCCCCCTCGCTCCTCCCCCCCTCGCTCCTCCCCCCCTCGCTCGCCCCCCCCCCTTCGCTGCCTCCCTTGCTCCCTCCCTCACTCCTCCCCCCCCCCCTCGCTCCTCCCCCTCGCTGCCTCCCTTGCTCCCTCCCTCGCTCGATGGTGACGATGACGATGGTGATGATGACGATGGTGATGATGACGATGGTGATGATGATGACGACGATGATGATGACGATGATGGTGATGATGACGATGATGGTGATGATGACGATGACGGTGATGATGACGATGACGACGATGACGGTGATGACGACGACGACGATGATGACGACGATGACGGTGATGATAACGACGGTGATGATGATGACGACGTCAACGATGATAATGATGATGACGACGACAAAGATGATGACGACAACGATGATGATGACGACGACGACGATCGCTATAACAAAGACGGTGACGACGATGACGTTTGTCCCACCAGTGGTGGAGCGCTTGGGAAATTGCGCGTCGCTCTACAGCCGCTCCATCCAGGATCACCCCGTGTGTCTGCTGCTCAAGCTCGCGGTGAGTCCTTGCTCGTGTCCTCAGAATCCACTTTGTAGCCCGTGTCATTGGGAGCTTTGTTGCATCTTCACGAGCCTAGCGCCACTTCATTTGAAGCACCACAATGCCCTTGCCTGGTCTCGTCAAGGAGCATAAACCATCGCGCAAACTCGGGTCATCCTCCTCGCAGCGGCGGCTTTTGGCTGGCCATCTCTTCCTTCGCTCTTCCTAACGATGTTACAAAGCCACTGGAGTTGGCTACATATTCTGCTAAAGAAACTCAACATGCATGCATGCATGCAATTTGGCTGAATCCCAACTCTGACTGTTAAAATGTGGGGTCTGACCGTTTCGCGATGAACATTGCTCTCACACGGCAGATGCGGTGGGGAGGGGGGGTGGTGGTAAATTTCAGCAGTTTGGGCCTCCAGATAAACTTTTATTTGTTTTATCTTACTAAGGCCCACTGGGCTGTGTAGCCCTTTTTTAGAAGTGCCCACAATTAAGTGGCTTACCACGTGCACATTTATCGCTGCCAAATACTATACAACGCGTGATGTTGATTCTAAATGTGGGGGAGAGGAAAAACCGCAGAACCTGGAGAAAATCCACGCGACAACGGGGAGAACACGCAAACTCCAAATCTCGAAGAGTCAGGGTCGGGATCGGACCCACGACCTCCTGTATACCAGGCGAGGTCGTTAACATCTCCTAGCCAAATTTCGATTTAAAGCTTTCGTGACTGCAGGGATTCATATTCTTGGTTCTTTCGGTAAAGTCACGTAGAAAGGAGCTAATAAAATGATAAAAATATAAAACAATACAAATTCTCGTGTTGCAGTCGAAACGCCGTGAGAATTTTTATTGTTTTATATTGTATTATTTCCCTTCTACGTGACTTTACCGAAAGAACCAAGAATATTCCAGATTTGAAGCTTTCGTGACTGCAAGGATTCATATTCTTAGGTTTTTTCGGTAAAGTCACGTAGGTAAAACATTAAAATTAATAAAAGTAAAATAAAATAAAAATCACGACGTTTCGGAGGCAACACCACAAGCTTCCGTCTTCAGGTGGAACCGTCACAGCCACGACAGCTGTATCAAGTAAATGAGAGATTGCAGGAGCTACCACTCCGTATATATAATGGTTGGAGAGGGGGAAGGGCCAAGTACGGCACACTTTTTATTGTAATCTCTCATTTACTTGATACAGCTGTCGTGGCTGTGACGGTTCCACCTGAAGACGGAAGCTTGTGTTGCCTCCGAAACGTCGTGATTTTTTTTTATATTTTGCTTTTATTAATTTTAATGTTTTACCTACGTCACCAAGAATATATCTCCTAGCCACTTCAGGCAGCCCCTGCCGCTGTGACCACGAGCCCTCCACCACGGCCGCACGCTTTGATCCATGTCTCACCCCCCCTCCCCTCTGGCCTGTGGCTCAGGAGGGCTCAATGGTGTCGGTGGACGGCAAGAGCAGCGACCACGCTTTGCTGTCGAACATCCTGGACGAGCTGAAGCTCACGCTCGGCGGCTCGTGACGCCGCGTGCCGAGCCAGGGGTCCTTCGATGACGTGACCCCTCCTCCTCCTCCTCGCCAATTCAATTAATCTTTCAGTTACCCACTCGCTCACTCGCTCGCTCGCTCGCCCGCCCAACCAACAGCCCACTCACCCACCCGTCAACTCAGCCACCCGTCCGGCCACTCTCACCAACTCTCACTGTCTCACTCGTCCACCCTACTCACTCACCGACCAACGCGACCCACACAGCCACGCTCTTACCCGCCCACCCACTCGCCAACCCACCCACTCACTCACCCACGCATGCACCCGCCCACCCACGCATACACCCGCCCACTCTACTCACTCAGACCCAGGCGGCTCACACAGCCACAATCTTACCTGCCCACCCACTCACCCACCCACTCACTCACCCACGCATACACTTGCCCACCCACGCATACACTCGCCCACCCACTGCACTCGCCCACCCACTGCACTCACCCGCCCACTCTACTCACTCACAGACCCACCCGGCTCACACAGCCACAATCTTCCCTTCCTACTCACTCAGCCACCCACCCACTGCCCCCCCCCCCGCACGCTCGCGACACCTCGGCCGCGCCTGCCGCGTGGCTCGGCACGCTCGGCTCAATCTCCCCCGCGCCAGCCTCGTACCTCCTCCGTGCACCGTGCACAACATCTCAGGGTTGGGGAGGGGCGGGCCGTCACTCGCGTGTGCGACGGGCCGTCGTACAATCGACGGCGCCTGCTCTGCACTCGACGCGGGGTGCTCAGGGGGGGGCCCTTCTTACGCCGTTCCGTACCTCATGAACACATTTGCAGAACTTAGCTTGGTGGACCTCGTGACACTGCGGGGAGGTGGGGGGGCGGAGGTGGGGGGGGTGGTGGGGGGGCGGAGGTGGGGGGGGTGGTGGGGGGGGGAGGAGGGGGGGGAGGTGGGGGGGGAGTCACCATTCCAGTACATTCCTCCACCACACAAAGCTACCCCGTTAGCGGTGTTCTTCACCTACTTTCAGAGTGGGGCACACTTTCGCCGATAAGACATCATCGGTGCGAGGCCTCCGGCACACATTTCAAACCGCCGGTGGTTTGACAGCCCGAAGATGATGGGGGGGGGGGGGGGGGTGTGTGGGGGGGGGGTGTGGTGGGGGGGTGTCGTTTCACATTTGTCTATAGTCGGGTGGGGGGACGGGGTCACCCGCACCGTCGGTGGGCCGCACTTAAAGGCCACCAGGGGCCGCCACGTGGCCCCGTGGGCCTTGCAATGAAGAAACACTGCCCTAGAGGCTTGGCAGGTGACCTCCTCTGCAAGAGGGTGGTGGGGAGGCGGTCAGCCCCGTCGCGTGGCCCCGTACCTCCGCCACACCACCTCCGGCTCGGCACGCCGAATAGCCGGCTAGGGGGGGAAATAAAAACCCAACGAGTGCCGTCGCTGGTGGCGGGGGGGGGGGCGGTGCCTGGCCCAGGTGAGCCAGTGGTGGTGGGAAACAAGGGGGTGGTTTGTCTTCCACAGCGAGCTTCGTTAAAGGCCCAGGGGGTTGCGATGGCAGGGGGGGGCGGGCGGGGGGTGCAGGCCATCAACAGCTGTTGGTTTCTCACGATGTGGTTCTCGTTTTATCGACCCCGCCACCGGTGGGAATAAGCGCCGTGAAATGTTTTTGGCGCCGTTTGTTTTCGAGGCCCTCGCAAAACAAATGGACGAGTCGATGGCCCACGCGGATGTTGGTCACGGAAACGGAATAGATGCTGGGTGGAAAGGGCCATCGTCGTCATCGTCGTCGTCGTCATCGTCAGCCTTCGCCCATTCTCATTCCGCTGCTAGATGAAGGCAATCCGAATCGGGGGTCGCCAAGGGCCATTGTGTGAATTTTTTGTGGCGTTACCCGTGGGAGCCAGGAGGGTTTCGTTGATTCCGCTCTTCCTTCTCCCCTTTACTCACCACCCCCCCACGAAGCTGAGGGTCTCTCAGACTTTCTTCGGTTATTCCCTCGCCCCCCCCCCCCCCCCCGTCTAGCAGGGTAAGCGTCACGACGTCTCGGATTTTCGTTTTGTCGTCTTTGTCGTCGAGAGTTGTTTTTTTTCTCTTCGGTTTGTGTTTGATTTTTTTTGTGTCACGCTTTTTATTTTTTGATTTAAGACGGCACCAAAAGAGGATTGGGGGGGGGAGGGTAGAGAACGACGACTCGATATTCATAAATGCAATAGACTGGAGGGGGGCACTGGTGTACACTGATTACTGTTTTACCTTCTATAGATATCTCTCTCTCTCGTCTCGCAACACCCAAATCATTCCTTCGTCCGTCGATTAATCCGCGCGCCGTGCTCGGAAAACCGATGATCGCTTGTCGTTATTTTCCTCCTGGAGGTGTTGGAAGTCAAAGAACGCACGCCAAAGGATTCGCGCCGGTCCGCCAACGTGCCCGCCCGCCCGCGCGCCGGTCCGCCCAACGCCCATTCGTTCGTTCGCTCGATGTTCATCCGTTCGTTGTTTTTTCCCCAAAGCGGCGCCGGTCACTCCCGACGACCTAACGGCGACCCCCCTCTCGTCTCTCGTCTCGCGCCGAGACGCTGAAATGCTCAGGCCACGTTGCTTCCGTGGGAATGAAAAACCCGCACTACTATGCAAAGCCCCCGTGGTGGTGGGTGGTGGGGTTCGGGGGGGGGGAAGCGTGTTATTAAATCCGTATCAATAAATACGCGAGCAAGTTCCTGTCGCTGGCCGTTCAAGGCTGCGCACCTACACCCCCCCCCTCCTCTCCCTCTCTCTCACGTCCTGTGACACTACAAATGCAATAATAATAAATAATAAATCTCGAGCGCCTTCAGTAGCATCCGTAGCGCATCTGCAGCCTCGCCGTTGCAAGGCCGTCGTCACTTTACGCAAAAAATTGTTTGTTGTTGTTACGTTCCTACCGGCTTTGTCGTTATTAGACGCCGTCGGTTGGATCTCGGAGCGAGGCCTCGGCAAGGTAAGGTAATTGTACCCTTTTTACCGGGTTAAAGGGTAAAGGTAAATGTGTCGACATGCCAAGGGGTAAGGGTAATGGGTAGGGTAAAGGTAGGCTCGTTTTTTTACACTTTTACCTTACCTTGCCGAGGCCTACTCGGAGCCCATCGATTGCGTTCGCTTCGCGGCCATGTGCCGCTTCCGCCTGAATTCTAGCGGCCGTCGATTGCGTTGTGGCCGGAGAACAAAAATCCACGCGAGCACGGGGAGAGAGCGAGAGACACACAAACTCCAAATATACAGCAGGCGTCAGGGTCGGGATCGAACCTCACTGATCCCTCGACCTCCTGTACACCAGGCGAGGTAGTTAACATCTCCTAACCACCGTGATGATGAGAGAGATATACGCGAACTCCAAATATACAGCAGGCGTCAGGGTCGGGATCAACCCTCACTGAACCCACGACCTCCTGTACACCAGGCGAGATAGTTAACATCTAGCTACCGTGATGATAGAGACACGCGAACTCCAAATATACAGAAGCAGGCGTCAGGGGTCGGGTTCAACCCTCACTGAACCCACGACCTCCTGTACACCAGGCGAGGTAATTAACATCTCCTAGCCACCGTGATGATTATAGAGAGACACGCAAACTCCAAATATGCAGCAGGCGTCAGGGGTCGGGTTCAACCCTCACTGAACCCACGACCTCCTGTACACCAGGCGAGGTAATTAACATCTCCTAGCCACCGTGATGATTATAGAGAGACACGCAAACTCCAAATATGCAGCAGGCGTCAGGGGTCGGGTTCAACCCTCACTGAACCCACGACCTCCTGTACACCAGGCGAGGTAATTAACATCTCCTAGCCACCGTGATGATTATAGAGAGACACGCAAACTCCAAATATGCAGCAGGCGTCAGGGGTCGGGATCAACCCTCGCCGAACCCGCGACCTCCTGTACACCAGGCGAGGTAGTTAACATCTCCTAGCCACCGTGATGATGATAGAGACACGCGAACTCCAAATATACAGCAGCAGGCGTCAGGGTCGGGATCAACCCTCACTGAACCCACGACCTCCTGTACACCAGGCGACGTAGTTAACATCTAGCCACCGTGATGATGATTATAGAGAGACACGCGAACTCCAAATATACGGCAGCAGGCGTCAGGGTCGGGATCAACCCTCACTGAACCCACGACCTCCTGTATACCAGGCGAGGTAGTTAACATCTAGCCACCGTGATGATGATTATAGAGAGACACGCGAACTCCAAATATACGGCAGCAGGCGTCAGGGTCGGGATCAACCCTCACTGAACCCACGACCTCCTGTACACCAGGCGAGATAGTAAACATCTCTTGCGGGATAATTCCATGCATCGATTTCCGTCTCTTGGCTCTGTGGTCTCGCGGGGAGGCGGGCGAGGGGGAGACAGATGGAGGGGAAGCTTAATAAGCGCCTTGGGTGCCATGTAACGGCGTGAACCAAGATAACCCTTTCACCGAACGGAATTCGAAGTAAAACGGCCTTGCGGGAGGGGTGGGGAGGGGGTGTTTAGAGTGCGGAGCGGTCGTGTCGCCACAGTTCTCCGCGGTGAGTAAAGACTTTTTTCTTATAATTGTTTTTTTTTACCCTTTTATCTGGCAACAAAACTGACACCTTTTTTACGAGGAGTCATGTTTGCATAGACAACAATGCCTGCGGTCATAATGCAAACAAAAAACATAACTCTGATAATATATACACTGTCTTGAAGTTGATTGACCAATAAATCGTCCCCTAGGTCGACTCAGCCTCAAATTAGTACCTGGTGTGGCGTGTGTGGTAAACATCGCCACCGTGGGAGACAAGGGCGGTCGGGCGTGGTTGCTGGCCCACCCACCCGTCCCCTCGTGTGCCACAGTGCTGGCCTTCATAGGTGCTCGCTAACAGCACTTGCCCCAACAGTCTGTGAAGGCTACACGGGGGATCTTTGTATTTGGTGGTTTGGGTTAAATGGTGAGGTGATGGTGCACGGTGGTGGTGATGCTTGTGCGGTTTGCAAGTGGGGGCCTTGAAAGTGCCGGGTGTAATTATTATTTTTATTCCGCTCAATCGCAAATGGATCCCACGTTTTCACCCTGCAAAATACGCTCACCACTTGTGTGCGTGTATTTTTTTACATAATTTTTTCTGTTGAAAGAATTGATGGAATTCGCGAATGATCGAACTAGCCGGCTCCCGGCCTCGTAACCGTCATCATCATCATCAAGGGGGGTGGAGGGGGATTATAGGATTTTTAAAAAATGCATTCAACAGATGTTCTGGTGGTGATTGCTACTGCAGCGTTGGCAGTGGTGCACAAAGTACAAATAAATAAAAACACTGCAGATAATGCCCCCCCCCCCCCCCCCCGGTGTAGGTCTGGGATGGCGCTCCCCAAAGGTATGACGACGAATGATCGAAACGACGTGAATCAGAGCGATGATTTGCAGGGTTTGGTAGAAGGCGGTGGTGGTGGTGGCGGCGGTGGTGGTGGCGGTGGCGGCGGTAGCGGTGGTGGTGGTGGCGGTGACGGAGGAGGCAGTGGTGGCGGTGGAGGAGGCGGTGGCGGCGGTGGTGGTGGCGGTGGTTGTTGTAGTGGTGGAGGCGCAGGCTGAGAGGCGACGGATGACGACGATGAAAGGGCAGACGAGATGCTGCCAGCGACGTCATTGTGCATGTGGGGGGTGGAGGAGACGCATCGGATGGCGGTGTTCATTCAGTGGCAACGTATTTGCGAAATAACGTAAATATGGGGGGGGGGGGGGGAGACGTACATCTGGGTACGACTGCATTATCATAATAAGTACAAAAAAAACACGTTCGTCAATTAACACGGTGGCCTTAAAAAGAAGTATATTCAAATGGGCGACGTTTCGGG